ATGTCAGCGGATTTACTTCCATGAGCTTGAATGCTGTAACTCAGACGGATGTGCCAGATAAATTCCTGTAACTCAGATCAACCATAGGCTTGTAAAGTGTCTTCACCTGGAATAGCTTCGTCTTAACCTTTTTGGCCATCAGATATACCTAAAATTTACATCAGTGCAATAGATGACTTGGCAGCAAATTACTGACATATAATCAGGGGCGTAACTAGAAATCACAGGGCCCCATAGCAAAATTTTGTATGGGGCCCTGTGATTTCTAGTTACGCCCACCTGATAACCCAAACAGCCCACCTAAGGGTGACCCTGCAGAGCCCACCATAGACTCTCTATGGTAGGCTCTGCAGGGTCTCAGGCGGGCGGTCAAGCCCTCTTACCTTACCTGATCTTCTGTCCGCCTCCTTCTCCTCCACGATCGACTCCTCCGTCACTGGGCCCCGCTTCCTCGATCGCTGGGTTCCGCCCCCTCGATCACCGGGCCCCACCCCCTCGATCGCCAGGCCCCGCCCCCTCAATCACCGGGCCCCGCCTCCTCGATCACTGCCGATGACGGGCCCAGCCACCTCCTGCGAAGCTGCTGGTTGTCACCAACTCAGCAGCGGCTGTGAGAAGGATCGGAGCGTTCCTTCTCACAGCCGTCAGTGACAGCCAGCAGCCTCGCTGTCCGAGCAAGATGCCATAGCGGCCCGCATGGCATCAGGGAGATGTCCTGGCCGGGCCCCGCCGTGCCTCGGGCCCCATAGCGGGTCGCTATGGTGATTGTTACGCCACTGCATATAATGTATATATTGTTCCGTAAAACGTGACAATAGACCTGTGATCATAGGTTCAGCATTGCTCTGTTCACATGCAACATGTCAGCATCTGCACTGTAGCTGCAGACATAAAGTTAGAACAAAGAAGACATCTGCTTCCCAGACCTGTCTGACTTGATGTCTTCACCGCCAGAAGCCATATATGAACATTTCTGAGCTGTACTCATGTAATCCCTAGAGAAAACAGATCACAAACTTTGACAGCAGGTCCTGTTTCATGAAGTCGATAGAACCTGCACAACTTTAGCTTTAGAGAATGTCTTCAGACCAGGACAGAGAACAAGGAAGGCAATAGGGATCCCTGTAGATACTGACAAGTAATCTTATACAGTATATCGGGCAGCGAATGCAAAGCAGATGTAGGTTACATTCACATAAGCTTCAGAAGGGATGCTCGGTATGTGTTTTAAACATCTACTTGCTTAGACTGAAAGACATTTGTCAGGTATTATATCACATAGTGCTGACATAATGTGTGAGTCATGCAATACTATATACTTCTGTTTGCTCCTCCCTCCCAAAAAAACATGTATAACATGAGTGCTGCATGTTCTTGTGCATGGGCAGAGAGTGCAGCAGTACAAGGATCCTCTGAAACTTAAATTAACTATGTCTTGAGAAAAGTATAGAGGCTGCCATTGCTGGCCTCTCCTCTCCTTTAAACATGTTAGTTCCCTGGTTGTCATACTGATGCTTTGGCTACAGCATGCATGTTTCAGGTAAAGTATAGAAGCCAGACATCCTGATGTCATGTAGATCCTGCTTAATTCTAGGGCAGGTGAGAAAGAGGAGGCTTTCTTCATGATGGCCTAACCAAGCTTCTGGCATGTAACCAGGAGCAACACATCGTTCACTCCCTGTCTAACTGCCGCAGAGACACGAAGAGTGCTCCTCTGATTTAATCTTGACACCGTTTGGACTGGAAAGGAAGAGGATTAGTGTCATAAGTTTCCATTGGCTGGACATGAAAAGGCATGACACTGAGTGAAAGTTTTGAAGCACCCCTGAAGAAACCAGAAGGCACCCTGGCTGAGAAAAGCTGGTCTAGATCTTTGGGCATTAGGAGCATTTTAGAGCTGGCCAAACACTGTTAGAGTTTCGGCTGATTCCTGTAAAATACTTATAATGGGTGACCCTGCCAGCTCGACAAAAGTCAATTACTCAATCAAACTTTCTCGAAAGGAGCCAGGCTGAAAATTTTAGGCCGAACTGTGACTGTAGCCAATCAGCTCCAGTCACTGTCCGGGCAGGATCCCGCTGTCAGGATACAATAGCCACAGTGGGAGATTCAACCATCCATGCTGTTTAGCGTGATTGGACAAATCTGTTAGATTTTACAATCTTTTAGTGTATGGCCGGCTTTAGACTGCGGAGAGTGTATTGTGTTAATTAGACTAACTTTCCTTAGTGGTAGACTGGCAGTAAGAGGATACGAAAAGCCCAACCAGGATTCAGTGCCTGCTTCTGAAAAGAACAAGAGTGTTCATTCTGATAATAAGCACATGACAGATACTCCAAAAATGATACTTCCAAGTACTGGAAATGAGCATCAATATTGTATTCCATTCATTTGGTGTAAAAACAGAAGATCATTTATCTGGAAGAAAAGTGGCAGCTACAATATCCTGGAAACATCTGTGAACGTTTTTATATACAAACTATCCTTCTAAAAAGACTTCTATTTGTCACACTGCAGGTCAATGTTTTGGAAAGCTGAAACCATAATGATGCCATTTCATGGATGCCAATCTGGGAATTTTGGAGCACAAGTGTCTGTTGTTTTATTCACAGTTTACAATGGTATATCATGTGGACACCTCATTGTAATCTTTATCTGAAGAGGGTCTTTGTGCAATAGGTTGTCAGAAAATATAAATAGTGATCTCTGGCTACTCAGCACCAAACTATCCATTTTAGTCATAGACAACGAAGGACCTAATTTGTTGGAGCTGAAAAGTATCTTTGTTGCCAGGAACAAAAGCCATGTCTCATTTTCATGGCAGGTTGGAGAATAGCTTTTTGGGTGTTACAGGCAATACCTGCACTCTTCATAAATCTCTATAGAGTAGTGATCACATTGCTGTGGCAGAACAATAGCACTGCTCAATGAAGTCTTGTAATGGATTAAGATTAACCAGAAAATGGCTACCAGCAATCAACAGTATTCAGACCAGGGAAAGCTGTGTGATTGGTGGCTGCACATCATGCTAGTTTGTACCATGTTATTAAATTAGACTCATGGTTTGGGCTGGACACTTGCCATAACCACTGAGTAGCTGCATTTGTGGGAATTATAATGACATATATAAAAATTAAACAATGTCCTTCTGTCTAGGCTCTATGAAATCCCTCTTAGGGCTTGTTCACACCAAATGCAGATCAGACCTGCATGAGTTTCTGCACATGCAGTGCAGTGTGTTATACCGTGTGTTTTGCCGCATTTTTGATGCGTTCCGGGACGTTTTTAGTTTTAAAAAAGTAGTGTTTTTTTTAGTTTAAATTGGGCTTTCAGTGCGTTCCATGGCGTTTGCATGCGTTCCAGAGCAGGTAAAATAGGGCTGGCTGCAGTTTTTTTAACATGCACTGGAACTGAACGCTGCGGTGTGAACTAGAGCCCAAAATACCATTGGAATACATTGGACGCAGTTTTGATCGAGTCTGTAACTGCTCTGCTCTGCTCCTGGAACGCGCTTGGTCTGAACAAGCCCTAAGTGCCCATTCACTTTCCGGCCCGATTCTGAGCAGAACTCACTGCCTCGCTACAAGCACTATTTTGATCGCACCGGACCGCACCGCAGGCACAATGTGCCTTGCGATCCCGTGCGGGTGATAGCATTACCCCCTCCTGCCCCACTAAAAAGGGAGCCAACCGCAATGCGAGGCAGTGCGTTCTGGCCAGAATCGGGCCAGAACGCACTGCATCTAGCGTAAATGGGCCCTTAAAGTTCACTGCTTCCCATTTACCAAACATTGTTTGTAAATAGATATTTTGTATTTAAAAGAAATCTGATGGGATTGTAGCCAGGCTTTGAGAAAATCTTGTATGTGTTATAGAGGAATTTGGTGTGGGGCCCATTTTGCTGACAGCCAGCAAACGAGAAAACTTTTGTGACATGATGTGACCTGAGGCAGAGATCAAATGTCAGAAAAAAGAAAAGGCTAGTTGCACTCCTTACCGGTATGAAGATGTGGTTTGATATGATTAATTTGCAATAATACTTAGGTTTCTCTTTCACTTGAAATTGGTGAATAGAAGCTTGTCTTTCTAATGACTCCATTGTTCACAGCTGTTTGGTTTTTTTGACGTCATGTGACGTCAGGGGTGTGTCCAAGGGTGTGTCTGCACTGCTTTATGTCTATTTAAACCCTCTCTGTTCTTATCATTGTGTCATTGCTATGCCTGATGAAGGGACCCTGTGTGGCCCCGAAAGCGCTTCTGTAACTGACATGAGTTTGCAATAAAATCTACGAACTTTGATCCTATAAGGATTTGGTGTGCTGGTGACGTTTCTGCAATTATCTAGAGATCAAATGTCAGCCGCAGTCACCGTACAGTATATGTTTATTAAATTAAACACTTGGCTACATTGTCACATTCTGTAGATACTTTGAGTTTCATAACATTGTCATTATTTATGAAGTCTGTACCTAATGATGGATTTGCACAGTTTGGACAAAGCATATTATGCTCAGCTAATTGCACTTCCGAAGAAGGTCTCCCTTTTATATACAGGTTTTGACAGTACTTTGGCTAGATCAACTTTAAGCACTGTGTTTGTACAACAATTGTTTGGCAACCGAGATCATTTCTAGAAACAAGGTCCCTTTACAACCAAAGTTTTCAGTTAGCAGTGCAAGTGAACGGGCCTTTAGCATCACAAGCCACAAATACTGCTGATAAAGCCCAGCTAATGCATTGCCAAATACTTGTCTGTATTGAACCAAGTAGCTCAGTGCACAACCTTTTCCCTTTACTACAGGGAGCACTTGTGAGTGATTTGATGTTACATGGGAATGTAGAATGGTGCAGTGGAATGTGACTTGGATGGGTTTGTACATGTCTTCTTCAACCTGTGGTCTTCACTAAGAACAGCTGATGCCAGTAGTTCTGAGGCCATTCTGTGTTATAAGCAACAAACCTAATATCATTCATTTCTTATTGCTGTAATTCTCTGACAGGTCTTCAAAATTGATGTTTTATGCAATGGTCGCCGACATTCATTGGATCGACGCTACAGTGAATTCCATGCACTCCATAAACTGGTAAGTGACCATTTTTTTGTAGTTCTGGATAGATAAAATAGCCAATAGAAAACTATGCACATCCACCATGTAGGCTATCTTTAGGAATGCCAGTCACTTGGCCAGAAAATATGGTGCTTGGTAACATTTCTTTAGGCTCTTGAATCTAGATTATTTTTGCATGGCCTTTTCCACAGATGAGTGATATACAGTATCTTTGTGTTTGTGCAGTTGAAGAAGGCCTGCAAGGTGCCAGATTTTCCTTCCAAACGCGTTCCAAACTGGATGTCAAAGGTCCAAGAGCTGCGGCGGCAAGGACTCGAAGCTTACATACAGGTAAATAGACTTCTCATCGATTTCACTTTTTACTTACTATTTTTGGCCTTTTCTATCCTCTATTTGATGCCGCACCTCCTCCATATTCTCTCTTGGTGGCTCATCATTGCCACCATTATGGCATAAAGCAGTCTTCTTAGCTGTTAACCCTTTATTGTTGCCCATCCAGTTGGCGAGCTGTAGCTGAGCTTTTCTTATGATTTCCTTGCTCTTTGAGCTTGCACATTGGAATGGCAGCTGACATATGTGTCCAGCTTTACCAATCGCTTCATAAGGTGAAGAAATATAGATATATCTATATCACGACTTACAATACAATACAATACTACCTACAATACTTGTAGCTCAATACTTGTGGTCAGAAAGAGGAAGAGACCTGGGATGTTTTTACTGTACAGTGCGGTCTCCTGAGTAGAATGTCCCAGTAATATGTGGAAGAGGCTAGTACTGAAAGGGAACTGAAAATGGGGAGCTGTGGAAGAACAGGAAGTGAACTCCTAGTGTGTTCATAAAAGGAATTAAGATTCATTACCTGGAAACACATTAGCCTTCAGAGAATGATGTTCTTAGACATAGATTATCACATTATGGCATGGTGTGGTACAGCTGTATGCGTAATAAGAGCTAAGAAGGGATTGTTATGCAGAATTCACTATCGGGGATTTTAGGGAAAGAGAGTTCTTAAAATACATGACGAAATAGCCGTTTGGGTGGGACGAGAACATGTTATCTACTGTCACACGTATTTCTTTTACACCATCCTATCAAACAGTACTAGCTTGCCTGCACCTATTAGATACAGAAGGAAATGGAAGTTGAGGCTGTTTTTCTATCCTAAATTGAATACAGAAAACTCGAATGTCAGGAATAAGGCAGTTTTGGGGGTGTGGATTCAGTATTGGAATGCAGATTCTTCATGGAGGGAGGTAATAGAGTAGTACAGCAGGACATCTTGGTGAATTTTTGTATTCTTTACTTCTACAAGGCATATACAACATGTCAACTGCAAGAGGTACAATAAATTGACAATAAACAACCAATTTACAGCATTTTAGGCAGAAGGGGCCAATAGTGAATTTAGCTTAATGGTTAGATTAATATAAATGTAATCATGTTAAATGTAATCATGTTAGACAGATACTACACATGATGTTCATTTTATCTTTCAGGGGGTGCTTTGGTTCAACAAAGAGGTCCCAAAAGAGCTGTTAGACTTCCTGAAGTTAAAGCATTTTCCACAAAGCAAAAAAAACTGCAGCTTCCAGTGAGTACATTGTATGAAGATCCTAGTGTGAGCTCATTAGAAGCAATGTGAAAGTAGGGACGATTGGCGTAGGCTTAGTAGCTGCTCTAAGAAGGAATTTGCAACCACAGTCTGTATTGTCACAATGTAAACTAGGGATGCATCGATACTTTTCAGATTCCAGTGCCGATACTTGGCATTTTCATGAGAAATATCACGGTTGCAGCGGTTGCAGCTTGGACCGGGCTCTGGCGCTCCACCACTGTCCTGAAATCATTGTTTTAGAAAAACTGTCACATGACAATAAACAAAAATGTATCAGTACTTGTACTTGTAAGTACTTGGGCAAGTATCAGTACTTGTACTTGCAAAACTGGTATCGGTGCATCCCTTTATTTTAGGGCGGTTACTGATTAAAATTTTCGTGTTCGATTAATCAAACTTTTTTTAAATCGATTAATCTCGATTAATTATAACGCACATACAGATAATAATAATAATAATAATGCACTTTTCAAGCTGCAGGAATGATTATTTTTTAGAAAATTAACCTTTGTTCTGAGTTGTGCAGCCTTAAAATGTCTGTGAAAGTTGTAAACAACACACAAAGACACCAGGAACTATTAAACACACTCAGCTCCACTTTCATTAAAGGAGAACTATGACATGAGTGATTTCCACTCACCTCGTAGTTCTAAGCCGACCTGTGAATTATATATAGACGGATACCTTTTCTTCACCCGGCAGATTCCATCAACACCTTCTGCCAACATTATACAAAGAACTCTGCAGACAGTGTGCCACCTGCCAACTGTGGAGGGGTGGACAGGGACGTAGCAGCTGAATCTGACTGTAGAACCACAGGCACATCCTGCATTGGTACAGCATCCAGTAGTTCCCAAATCAAGAGAAGTAATGCAAACTGACCACACTAGGATGGATCTGCTTCCGTGCCCAGCGTGGTCAGTCTGAAATAGAAACCATGGGGAACTAGCGGAATCACCAGGTATTTTGCAAAAACATAGGCACTAAAAAAAAAAAAAAAGTTACAGGCTACATTTAGTAGAAAGTAAATGTATAACACAACACCTATATGGAACATTATATTTTGGGGTAACAAACACTTTAAGTACACTAAAGAGTATACCGACTTGGAAATGTCTACTTAATCAACGGAACTCCCGGAAGACCCGGAAGCCGACGGAGAGGTGAGTACCGATCAAAAAAATTAACGATTAATCAAGGGATAAATCGTTAATTTCCGCAGCCCTACTTTATTTATATTTATAAAAACAAAATGGTACATTAAAACAGAGATGTACAAATCCCAGGAGCTCCGTATGCTATTTACAAATCACAGCTGCCTCCTAACTTTTGACTTTTTCTCTAGTCTAGTCCTGGGGCTGGAAAAGTATCTGTACTTGTACCGACTCCGAGTACGGTACTTGGTATTGGTGCATCCCTAATGTAAACCCTTCCCTTCTTGCTGTCTTGGCTTCCTGTCAGTCAGTCTACTCATTACATTGGAAGCCTATAAGAGGGGCTGGGAATATATGGCAACCATGCAGACCATAGTTGAAGTTCACTTTATAGGGAAGCCTGGAATCTGAGACTCAGCAAAGAAGCTCAAAACACTGTCCATCCCTGCCATCCTAACCAGCAACCAGCGTATCACTGTCACATCCCCGAATAGGTACACTTTAGAAGTACTGGCTCTTCAAGAGATTGACAAATGTTCACAATAGTCATAAATCATTTTGAATATAAACATTTACAACTTCAAACATGCAGCATAGCATACACTGAAAAGATAGTGGCAAATGCATGAAGCATGAAATCACATTTTCAGCTATTTATGCCATATTTTATATATTATTAGTAAAAAAAATGTGGATCCGCGCTTTATGGGTAGCCCTGATATTAAAGCAGCTGCGCTCTCAACCCTGGGGTAAAAATTTGATAAAGTGTAAATTGTGAATATATACATGGAATAAAATGTTCACAAGGTTAGGGTGGCACTGTGACAGTGTACACATTTACAATGCCATCCTAACCTTGTGAATATTTTATTCTTTATTATAATGACTTCCTCTTCCACTGTCTAGGTTCAGCAGGTTTTACCTAAAATACTTCAATCTGTCCTGAAAATACAGCACTTCTGTTCAATATTTTTCAAAGCCCAGTTTGCTGTTTTTCTAGTAAACAGTTAGCTATACAATGCTTTATACAAAGAAAAATGGCTGATGTGCAGGCTCCTAAAAGTTGTATCCAAATTGCAGTATGTCTCTTTATGATAGGGCCCTATATGTGCCACAGATTTTCTCTCAATATGGTACTCTAATGTCACCCCCGATTACTGTACTTGTGTACAATACAATACGTATGATTCTGCTCATATGAAGCCAAAATCAGTGACTTACAATAAACACAGGTCCTATTACCTAAAACTGGTCCGGGGATCGTAGGTTAGAGAAACAGGCTTGAATTTATTTAAGAGCTTTGCAAAAACAACCAATTAATGGATGTGTTTTCTTTTCTACAGATCAGTGACGGATTTTGCTGTGGAAGAGAACAGGTACACACTATTCCATGTCAGAGTTCATGCACTGAATGGATGACCAGTTTTTCAAGTTGTGATTTTTTTTCCCTTATGACATCAGCTGTTAATGTTTGCTGTGTTAAAACACATATAAAACCTGCAGGCTAGACATTTTCAGTCAGTGGATCAAGAAGTCAAAATGCAATATTGATTCAAATAGTACACACCTTCTTGTAGCTGTCCATTTAGCGCATTAGCTTATTTTTCCGTTTACCTGTATTCAACATTTTCCGAGCAGGATTTGAGAATTATGTACTTTAAATGTGCAGAATTTCATTCCTTCAGCTAGTTATATTTGCTTTGAACAATAAACAATCAATAAACAATCAATTTTCATTCAGAAATGATCCACGAATGGTCTTTCAAACGATAATCGATCAGTTGATGGGACGCCAACGATTTTAATTACTGTACTTCTGGACGAATTTCCTCGAAGGATGAGGCTGCAAAACTTTTTCCGAATCATACGAAAATTTATGGATTAGTGGCGTTTTCGTACGGAAAAAAAATCGCAACAAGAAGGCTGCACATGCGCAAGCGAAAATCCGTTCTGTCGATCAATGAAATTCGATGAATTAATATTGCTAATGAATGATTATCGAAATCGACATTGGTCTGTGCTTGATGGGGTATTTGACTGGAATCGAAAGAGGGTTCTTGGCAACAACAAAAAAATTTCTGATGGAAAATCTATAGGTGTATGGCCAGCTTTAGTCTCTTCATCAGTAGAACTGTGTTAAATTTAACCTTTTCATGACCAGTGACGTACAGTGTTTGTCACTGGCATCGGGCTTGTTTAAACAGACTCCTGGCGGCTGTCAGCTTTACAGTAGAAGCGATTCCTCAGGCTCAGCTGCCGCCAGATTGCTTCTATGGTCCTGTAAATGCCCCCCTGCCCGACACCCCCGCTCTGCTGCCCCTGCTACAGGCCCTGGACAGGCTTCTCTAGTGTTGGGGGCAAGCTGGGGAGGAGATCCGCGAATCTCCGTTCACCGATCTCCCCATGCTATGCAGGCGGCATGGTTCAGCTCTTCAGCCTTTTCTAAGTACAGAACAGATGACTGCTGGAGTTGATCCACATTTTATTGATTGTGGATCAGATGTCTGTTGCTTCTCATTTCATATGTGATGCATTTCTTGATGCTTGTCGTCTGTTGTCTTCTGTGGAATTCTGCAAAGCTGTGTCCCTCAATGGACTATGAGAAAAGGATTTTACGTTGTAAGGAATCACTGACACCACTGCTGTCTGTATGGAGGCATTTTTCCTCCACTGACCTACTATTTAGGGGCATTCTCCCCACTGACCACTGATGTAACAGGCATTCTCCCCACTGACCTCCAATGTAAGAGGATTTTTTCCTAATGACCTCCAATGTAAGAGGAATTTTCCCCAATGACCTCCAATGTAAGAGGAATTTTCCCCAATGACCTCCAATGTAAGAGGAATTTTTCCCAATGACCTCCAATGTTTTGAGCATTTTTTCGACTGATCATTAATGTTCTGGGGCGGACCTACCACTGACCACCAATGTAGGGGTGCACTGCATTGGCAAGGCATAGGTTCACTTTTTAAGGCCAGCTATATTGTGCTGTAAGTCTTTTGTGTGCATAACTGCTGCTCCACCTGGTGGCAAAACTTGTAATTTCACTTTCCCTAGACAAGCAGGGGGCGTATCTAGAAAACACAGGGCCCCACAGCCTCCTTCACTGCCGGGCCCCGGCCTCCTCCACCTCCGCTGCTGGACTCTGGCCCGAGTCCTGACTAGGCCCCCCTCTGCCCGGGCCCCATAGCAACGTGGGTTGCTATGTTGGTAGTTATGCCACTGCATACAGGGTATTATTTAGTATAAGAACTGATCTCCCTAATCTTTTCTGGTTATCTCTACAATCTCTATTGTCTTATAAGATGATTCAAATTTGTAAATGTTTATTATGCAAACATAATAATGTAGTGACAGACATACAGCGTGGTGTGATAAAGGAGTAGTGTAGCATGTGAACATTATAACAACCATCTTTTCCAAGTCACAGTTCAGGTTTAGTACATTAAGATGTCCAGCATCTAGAAACAGAATGATATGTTGGCTTGTGATTTGTATTTATTGATTTTTTACCAAAGGTAGATTGCTTAACAATATATGAAGCAAAGAAAGTTATCCGTATTACAGAGGTCAGGAATGTCTGTTTTATATACATGTATTAACATTATGTCGTATGTCATAATATTGCAAAATGTAAAAAGGTGTTTTCTTTAAATGTAAGAGGAATTTTCCCCAATGACCTCCAATGTAAGAGGAATTTTTCCCAATGACCTCCAATGTTTTGAGCATTTTTTCGACTGATCATTAATGTTCTGGGGCGGACCTACCACTGACCACCAATGTAGGGGTGCACTGCATTGGCAAGGCATAGGTTCACTTTTTAAGGCCAGCTATATTGTGCTGTAAGTCTTTTGTGTGCATAACTGCTGCTCCACCTGGTGGCAAAACTTGTAATTTCACTTTCCCTAGACAAGCAGGGGGCGTATCTAGAAAACACAGGGCCCCACAGCCTCCTTCACTGCCGGGCCCCGGCCTCCTCCACCTCCGCTGCTGGACTCTGGCCCGAGTCCTGACTAGGCCCCCCTCTGCCCGGGCCCCATAGCAACGTGGGTTGCTATGTTGGTAGTTATGCCACTGCATACAGGGTATTATTTAGTATAAGAACTGATCTCCCTAATCTTTTCTGGTTATCTCTACAATCTCTATTGTCTTATAAGATGATTCAAATTTGTAAATGTTTATTATGCAAACATAATAATGTAGTGACAGACATACAGCGTGGTGTGATAAAGGAGTAGTGTAGCATGTGAACATTATAACAACCATCTTTTCCAAGTCACAGTTCAGGTTTAGTACATTAAGATGTCCAGCATCTAGAAACAGAATGATATGTTGGCTTGTGATTTGTATTTATTGATTTTTTACCAAAGGTAGATTGCTTAACAATATATGAAGCAAAGAAAGTTATCCGTATTACAGAGGTCAGGAATGTCTGTTTTATATACATGTATTAACATTATGTCGTATGTCATAATATTGCAAAATGTAAAAAGGTGTTTTCTTTCAAACCGATTTGTACACCTTTTATTGACCGACCTGTTTTGTCTCTGATGTTAAACACAACATTGAAATGCTATGTTTTTCTAACAGTTCCCAGTTGGCACATAAAGCAGTGGTAGGATTTTATAAGGACCTGTACATTTTACCTCCAGATACAGGTAAGACAAATTCTAACTACCCTGTTTCCCTGAAATTAAGACCTACCCCAAAAATAAGACCTAGTACTATTTTTGTTAATTGCTTAAATATAAGACCTACCCCGAAAATAAGACCTAGTTGTGACCATTCCCAGGGCCGGTGGTGGCATAAGGGGAGAACTTGAAGAGCTGCTGGAGAGAATCAGCGGTGCCCACGAAGCTAGCGCTAGAGGAAGCGAGGCGGCAGCGGAGGGAGCAGAGCCGCATAAGCCGATGCCTCCTCTATAGCGCCGGCTCCTATCACAGGCGGAGTGATACCAAATGCACTCCACCGGTGAGGAATGATAGTGAAAGCGCACTTCCCTCATTCTGGCCAGCGATTGGTTACCAAATTGCTCTTGGAAAGGTACAGCACCCCTGACTGCCCTGATCACCCTATTCTTAACTTTGCCACTCACTCCTGTCTTGTAAGTCTTCTACCGGTAATAAGTGTGGATTGTTGTACATTAAAAAAATAAGACCTACCCTGAAAATAAGACCTAGTGCATTTTGTTGAGTCAAAAAAAATATAAGACAGTGTCTTATTTTCGGGGAAACACGGTATGCTATCCGTGTTTTTTTTAATAACTATAAGTGTTTTCAAACTGTACAGCAATTATTTACAGTCACTCTTATTAAAAGCTCATCCAACATGTCTGTCATATACAATAATAAAAGTGTTTATTTTTTCCCTCCAAAGCCAATATAAAAACGTAACGCATAAGTAAGAATTTTGGGGCCCCAGGAGCTTTTTGCAATAATGTGCAAGTATGCTCAACATATTTAACCAGTTGCCGTCCGCCCGTTGTAAAAAAACGGACGGACGGCACTGCAGCATTGGCGGGTTGCCGTCTCCAGATGGCATTTTTTTTCTGCGGGCGCGCACGGGCAGAAAAGACCCGACCAATGCAAACACCCGTTGCCGGGTGTTTAAAATAAAAGTCACATATAAAAAAGTAAAATAAAATAAAAGTCACATATAAAAAAGTGGAAAAAAAAACCCAAAATGTTTAACTCCCCCACGTTTACGCAGATATAAACGTAAATACGCGTCCGGTGCCCCAGCGTGCAAAAACGATAATTGCGCCACACACGTTACATATCGCCGCGAACGCCACAGTGAGAGCAATCATTTTAGGTCAATCAATCACTGACAACACTAAACTGATGAGCAGTAAAAGCTTTTAAAGCGTCGCCTATGGCCAATTTTGGGTTTTATCGTTGTTTGAGGTTTCGCGCGCGCGCACGCAATTTTAAGGCTTGACATGTTTGGTGTCTTTTTACCCGACGTGACCCCGTCTTTTATATTTTACCAAAAAATTGGGTAATAATAAATGTTTTATCATTTAATATAGGGGAAACAGTTTTGTTTTTTTTATTGCGGTAATTTTTCCTTAATATAGTAAAAAATAAAAAAAACCCCAGTGGTGAATAAATACCACCAAAAGAAAGCTCTATCTGTCCCCAAAAAATGATATAAAATTCATTTCAGTACAGCGTTGCATGACGGAATAAATGTCAGTCAAAGTACCGCAGAGCTGAATACTGAAAAATGGCCTGGATGGGAAGGGGGTTTAACACCACGGATGTCAACTGGTTACAATATGGCAGACTTGCCTTTTAAAGTGGTCCCTTCCAACATTGTGACAGCTGCAATCGCTCTGTTGCCAGCACTTCCATCTTCGCCCGGTTTTGCTCTGAGTTTGGAGTCTTTGGCCATCATAATTGGCCTGCATTAAAATGATTCCATCCCTGCACAGAATTGTGCCGAGTCAATATACTGAGCTCCTCAGCGGGCTCAGTGTACACTAAGGAGAAAAATGCTGACAGAACCATTTATGGCAGAAAAGAGATGTAGGAGTAGATTTACTAAAGAAGTAGAGAAAGTGAATGTTCAAAGTGAATGTTCACTTACCAAAGCCAGCTATAGGGGGATAAGGTGTAGCTGTGTTCCCTGCACAGTAGTACTCAAACCGGGAGACTGTTTGTCAGCATTGTACAGTGACGTCAGTCTTTCTTTCTGAACACGACAGTTGCTGCTGTTCCTTCATTGCTCAGTCAGAAATAGGGTTGCCACCTTTTCTTCAAGCGAAATCCGAAGACTCTAGTGATGCGCAGACATTTTTTGGGGAGAATGAGTCGTGGCTTATTCATATAGAAATAGTGTCACCCAATTATATGTAAATATCACAGTTTAGACTATCAACAGTGGGGGAAATTTTGGTTGCCCCTGTCTGCCTGACATCTTGTGTCCGCGTTTCTGCTGCCATGAAACCCAGACACAGCATTCAAAAGCCGAACTGTCTGGGTGAATCCTGGGCAGGTGGCAACCCTAGTCAGAAAGTTCAGATGGGCTGGTGACTAAGCTGTATTGCCTACATTCAGTGAAGATAAGTGAGGTCACTGACCTAGCTATACCATCTGGCAGGATTGTCTTCATCACAAAAGAAGCAGTACACAATTCCAAAAATATTTTGACAGTTCACACATATGTATCGCAGCGATGACTTAGTGGGTGCGGGGTTGCTGCTAAAGAACTATTATTTTAAAAGCTTGTGTAAGTTCTCGTGTGAGTTCAACTTTGGTAGATCTGCATTTGACAACAAATAAATAACTCTGAAATCTACTTTTTTATACTATACGTAATGCAAGCGAAAACATTACAGCCAACTCCTGAGTACAAATCCTTTACCTGCTGAAGGGTTTGTGATGTGTTCATCCAGTCTTGTGATTTGCTGCATTGCCAGGAAGATCATTCTGTGATTTCCTTGGTAAACTGATCTCTAGGCAAGTGTTTTTAGTGTAGGATGGAGTAGGGGAGGTTTAAACATGATGATCCTGCGAGCTACAGGCCAACCTCGCTTCTTAACACGGACCTTAAAATCGATGCCAAATTAATTACTAACCGATTGCTACATATTATTCCTTGCCTGGTTCACCCGGACCAGGTCGGGTTTGTGTATGGAAGACAAGCCCCGGACGGCACCAGGAGACTCATCAACTTGCTTCAATGTGCTGAGCACTCCACATCGCCTTCTCTGCTCCTATCACTGGACGCAGAGAAAGCCTTTGATAGAGTTCATTGGGGATATCTCCAAACAGTATTGCAGAAATTTGGCGTAATAAACTTTCTAGGTTCCACCATAAATGCCTTCTACACTACACCAAGTGCCAGAGTGCTAACGTCCGGTCTGCTATCAAACCCATTCCCCATAAGCAATGGCACAAGGCAAGATTGTCCCCTTTCCCCACTGATCTTTGCCTTAATGATGGAACCGTTGGCTGCGGCTATCCGTCAGTCTCCGGACCTAAAGGGAATTCCCATTGGCAATGTCACACATAAGATTGGACTCTATGCGGATGATGTCATTATCTCCTCACAGATCCAATGCGATCTTTGCCTGCAGTACACCACATTCTAACAAAATTTGGAGAGATCTCATTTTACAAAATTAACCATACTAAGTATCAGATGTTACTAATTAATTCTACCCCTTCACTTAAAAGATCAATCACTGCCATTTCCCCTTTCTCATGGGCACTTTCTGACACCTTCACATATCTGGGGATACAAATCACATCACCTAGCTCCAAACTCTTCCAACTAAACTATACCCCACTTCTATACAATATGCAAAAACTCTGTAAAGACCTCTGCCACCCCCCAGTCTCATGGGCGGGTAAAATTACCTTGGCCAAAATGTATGTCCTTCCTCACATACTATACGTATTCCGGGCACTACCCATCCCCTTACTGCCTTCATACATCGCCTCCCTACAAAAGGTTCTCGATTTATTCATTAGGAATAATCACAAACCTCGGATCCCAAAAAAGAGCCTATATACCCCCAAATGTCACACGGGACTGGGCGCACCTGATTTAGCCTTATACTACAAGGCTGCTATCTTGGATCAGATCCGACATTGGTGGACTTCTGCCTCGAACAAATCTTGGACACATATCGAACAAACGGCGGTCTCTTTTTACCTACGTTCCTTATTGTGCAATGTGCTCCTTAACCGAAACTTAGCTTAGACACAGTTTCCGCTGCCATCAAAGTCTGGTCCTCACTTGGCCCTGCCTCCCCGCTTACCAACGGCTACACTCTGAAACATATCCCTATCTCTTCACTAGAACATATTATCACTATATACATAACAAAGGTTTAATATTACTTTAAGATTTCATTGCTATTCTTTCCCCATGACAGATATGCTTGAGGACATCATTTTACAAGGAGTTCTCCGAGGGCTGTATCAGCAGAAACATGAGAAGCTATCTACAGTCAAGCATGCACACCCAGAAAATGTACAATGACAGCCGCCTGATCCTGTTACAGCACTCACTTTTTTCATTTGGTGCTTTCTATTGGCAAACTGGAGTCCAGAGATATCTGCTGTATTGATGGATATACAGCCACAGAGTAAGGTTGAGTGGATTTGTGACAGATCATAAGGGAAGGAAGCTGCTTGTGAAGATGGACACCCTTCCAGGACTACCAAGTCTATGATTACTGCTACGAATGGACCAATGGTTTGGGTAAATAAACCCTGAATGATCTGCTGCATGGAAATGTGTCCAGCATTAGAAATCTAGACACTGTTTAATACTACATAATGCAACTTTCCAGATTGTGGAGAGAGACTTCATCATCTACACTGACTAGTCTTGTTTTTACAATCCAGAACATATTTTGTTCAAGATGGACCAAAGTCTACAGGATGCTGGCTTGTTCTTAAGTATTTATAAAACTTAAGATGTGTTTTTCTCATAGGCCCATGTCATACCGGTGATCTTCCCGCTGGTGGAAACTTGCCAGCAACAAGATGGTTACACTGACCTGAGTGACATAGCCTTTAATGTGCACAACTTTAGTTGTTTTGATAAAACAGTCAAATATACAGATTGTCATCATTATGTCTTATACATGTAATTCTTCACAAGGGCTTAGTATACAACTTTGCAGGACACTCAGGTGATGTTATGCAGATGGAATAGTTAGTCTACTTTCTCTCTCATGGGAGTGTAATATGTCAGATTTGAAGCAAGAACAGCTCCAATAATTCTATCTCCACAGGTTCCTTCAAATGTGTCACTGTAGTTTCAGTGCTAATAGGCAGAAGAATATCATAGGCAGTTCTGATTGTGCGACTTCCTTTAGATTTACCAAAACTATGAAATACAAGGTCAGTCCTAAACAATCCATTCAATACAATACATATAGTACAAATACATAAAGTAGAAGTACAAATACAATAGTATCAGATCAGAGAGTGGTAGCTTGTGGTAGATCTAAAGATCTATAGTTTATAGTCCACTTTATGTGTATAAGAACCAAATGGCAATTTACAGAATGGGCTCTTTTGGACACTCAGGCCACTTGCTTGGTGCTTTTTCTCACTCCAGGATTCTGTGGCAATAGTTTCCAGGATTTTGCATTGAATACTAAGGTAGAAGTTACTGTGAAATTTCTGCTGTGCCCTGGTATGTGACCTGTGTTACCTACCTACAAATCCAGGGCAGCACACATGCAGGCATTATGCTGATGTATACTCACTGTTGATAGATGCAGATCCCATTATTCATGCAGATGCTTACAGCACACTGACAGAACACCCCATCCCCCCTGCCCCCAATGGTAAGCTGTTGGGACCTTTCACACTTTTGCTTTTTGGTGTGTTTTTTCACAGCTGCATTTTCTATTGAAGTTAATGCAGCACATCAGAACACAAGCGGATGCGTTGTTTTGCGTTTAGTGTGTGTCTGTGTGTGATTTGATGTGCCTTGACATATGATTTTTCTCATTAAATAAAAAACACATCAGGAAAAAAGGTGTGTTCCCAGCCTAAAGAAAATTCAATGAAAGGTAAATATCACTGATACGCTACCATTTCATCCGTTTTTTGATTGCGAGCTACGGCAGTACATTCATCCTGAATGTTGCATTTTACACATCAGCTTCCCACAGATAAAAGGGTTTCAGTGTTAAAGAAGAACTAAAGCCAAAACTTTTTTTCTTTGGTTTTGGATAGTGTAAGGGAGGAATATCTGTCAGATTTTTGTTTGCCTTATGTGTTGCAGGCTGATTGCTACAACAGGAAGTGAGAGGAAATCCCTAAAAACCTGACAATACGGAAAATTGTATACTTACCTATCGGTAATTTTCCTTTCCTGACACCAATCCATGGCAACATACAGGAAGAGAGACCCCCATTGTATGCTGCCATGGATTGGCGTCAGGAATACGGAAAATTGTATACTTACCTATCGGTAATTTTCCTTTCCTGACGCCAATACATGGCAGCATACAATGGGGTCTCTCTTCCTGTATGCTGCCATGGATTGGTGTCAGGAATAGTTGTATTCGCTCTCCACACGAAACCAAAAAAAAAAAAAATGTTGGCTTCAGTTGCACTTTAAGGGAGGAAGTCTCTTTTTTGGATGGTATTGTATTATGTGTGTTAATAAGATTATCATTTTCCTACAAAAATCTGTAAAACATTTTTTATTCCAACATGTGGATCCACAAACCAGCAGAGATGTAGGTAAGTAAGTGCACCCGTTACCTATTCATTACTGAACTCTGTGTGACAGCTGCCATTTTCCCATATTATTAGGTACGTGCTGATTCTGTCCAAGCAGCCAGCATTTGGTCTTTGGCAATATTTCCAGATGACCCTTCTTAAGGTGCCCATACACCTATAGATTATCATTGGGAAAACGTCCATGAATTGTCTTTCGAACGATAATCGATCAGTTGATGGGAACCCAATGATTTTTTTTTTCTGTATTCCTGGCCAAATTCCCTCGATTGGTCACGCTGGAAAACTTTTTTTGAATCTAATGAAAATCGATGGATTAGTGGTGTTTTTGTAAGAAAAACATTACAAGAACACTGCACATGTGCAAACAAAAATCCGTTCTGTCGATCAATGAAATTTGGCGAGTTAATATTGCTAACAAACGATAATCGAAAGGACATTGGTCTGTGCTTGATTGGCTATTTGAGCTAGAATCGAAAGAGGGTTCTTGGCAACAACAAACATTTCTGAAGGAAAATCTATAGGTGCATGGCCAGCTTGAGAAACAAATCCGGGTTATCATCATGATGTCCATATATTGGTCTGCCATGTGTGCATCAAGATCACTTCGGTCTCATCTCCGCTAATTGATGTTGCCAATACTAAATGAGATTATCTCATCTTGTTTCAGATTTTTATAAAAACAACATTGATGACAAATTTCAGCCATTATGTGGTAATAAAAGTTGTCATGCAGCTTCAACCCATTAATCATGAATCAAGTGAGTACAAGCAGAATTGGTAAAAACAATAGACAAATATCTGTCATGTACAATGAGAAGCAAGGTAATAGCGGTCAATCCACATGCACCCATTTTAATTTGTGGTACAGACAGGGAAAACATTTGTTGGTACCCTTTCATGAAAACAGAACTCTCTGAAATAACTTGAGACTGACAAAGGTCGTGGCATCCATTATTGTTTACTCATATTTCACAGAGAAGTAAAGTCAAACCTTTTTTTTGCTTTAGTCCTCTTTTGGGTCACACAGGAGTACAATGGTAAATGTATCTCTGACTCAAAGTCAGCATATAGCAGGCTACTACCCACTACTTGCTGACAGTGCAGAGCCACACTGCAGCCGGGAAGGTTTATTGTGAACATTGAATAACTGCCCTGGGATTATTGTCTCACTCTGGTGTGCGTGCTGATAGCTAACATGTGGCGTGCTACGATCATCATTTCCATCCATAGGTGCATGTATGTGGGGACGGGGGCTTTACACTTTTTATTGATTTTATTTACCTTTATTTTTACACTTAATATTATTACAGAAGGGGCTACCAAGCCCCCTATGTGATAGCACATTGGAGGTGACAGGTTCTCTTTAAGTCCAATTGATATCCCACCACACTCCTTACCAGTCTGCCCCTTAGAAATGGGTGCTGAAGTGGCTGTAGATGGCGCTGCTCAAATCCAAACAAATAGGGTATGTCACCAGCACACTGGAATAAAGGGTTAAAAAACGTCTTTACTGACACATGCCCTTCATGTCACAAAAATGGGGATTATTCGGGACCACTCATTAGGCTTATTATGGCTCATTACAAATGAGCCCGATAAAGGGACCCTGAGTGGCCCCGAAACGTTGCCTTCTTTGTCACATGATGTGTATGCATCAATAAAGGCGTTTGTGTACCCTTTATTCCGGTGTGCTAGTGACATATCTTATTTGTTAGGTTCTCTTTAAGGAGACATTAGGATCTATTAGCACAGATCATGCTTGGTTAACTTCATCCCCGGACATAGCAGCCGGGTAATGACAGCTCTGACATCTGAAGTAACAAAATCCTCACCATTAGAAAGGGCTGCTCTGCCACGGATGTAGTACTTATGTCCATGGCAGCAAGGGTTAAATAGACTGCCTGGCTGAAGGTGCGTGGTACTTCTTATCATGGATATCGGTGATTACCTGAAGACAACCACACCTAGACGCAGACTGTTTTTGTCCAGGTGCAGTTGTCCGCAGGTATTTACAGCCTGTGTGATGACATGCAAACAGGCTGCAAACAGCTGCAGGGGGTAGCAGCGGCCATTGTATAGTACAACACATCACATGAGGCTCACACAGGAATTCCAGAGACTTATGATTGACCACATTTACAGGTGTGAATGGCACCATGACCTAAGACATGGAGGTAAACATGAGACAATCACTTTTTAATTTCATCACTCAGAGTGAATGAAGCATTGTTTCAGTGAGCAGTAAGGGTACCAACACATTGTCCATGCCTGTAAATCATAAAAGAGAAAACTAAAATATGTAGATGTGGCTTATGACGTTTGCCAGCTCATTTATATTTGCCAAGGGACACAAGCTGAGTGAAACAAAAACATTATTGTGTGGAGCGCCTAACAGACCTGATATGTAAGCTGACAGAGTGTGTGAATTCTCGATACCTAATTTTCGCATGGGAGAGGTACACTGCCCGGCCAAAAAAAACCAAAGTCACGCACTCTAATATTTCATTGGACCGCCTTTAGCTATGATTGCGGCATTCGCTGTGGTATCATTTCTATCAGCTTATGCAATGACACAACATTTATTTCCATCCAGAGTTGCATTAATTTTTCACCAAGATCTTGGAGTGATGATGGGAGAGTCAGACGACGGTGTAAAGTCTTCTCCAGCCCAAAGATTCTCAATGGGGTTAAGGTCTGGACTCTGTGGTGGCCAAACCATGTGTGACAATGATGTCTCATGTTGCCTGAAACACTCTTTTACAATTTGAGTCCGATGAATCCTGGCATTGCCATCTTGGAATATGTCCGTGTCATCAGGGCAGAAAAAATCCATTGATGGAAAAACCTGATAAGTCAGTATATTCAGATAGGCAGCTGACCTCATTTTTTCTTTTTGGGACATAATGTTGCTAAACTTAGACCTGACCAGCTGAAGCAACCCCAGATCATAACACTGCCCCCACAGGCTTGTATGGTAGGCACTAGGCATGATGGGTACCTCTCTCCCTACCCTGACGTGCCCATCACTCTGGAACAGGGTAAATCTAGATTCATCAGACCAATTACTTTTTTTCCATTGCTCCAGAGTCCAGTCTTTCTGCTCCAGAACAGATTGAAGGCTTTCTGTCCGATTAGCCTCACTGGTGGGTGGTTTTCTTACCGCTACACAGCTATTTAGCCCCAATCCCTTGAGATCTCCTCACATTGTGGGTGTGGAAATGATTTTACTATTATACATAAGCATGAGTTCTACTGTTGATTATTTACAATCTGATTTCATCATCTCCGATCACAGATCATTCAGGATTTTTTTTCTGATGACATTTCTTCTTTGAAGACGATGGTTCACCACTATTCTCCCAGGTTTTAATAATGCGTTTAATAATTTTAGCAGTTTCAGAAATCTCCTTAGTTGTTTTCTTTGCTTGCTGCAGGCCAATAATTTGACCCTTCTGACTGAGCTACTCAATGCATCAGTTAGAGATCAATAATATGTTACCAGATAAAACATATTCCTCACTGCAGCAGTGAAAGGTTTACCTATTTCCTTCGCTAAATCCAGGTGGTGACTTATACACAGTGAGGGGAATTTATCAAAACTGGAGCAAAGAGAATCTGGAACAGTTGAGCATGGCAACCAATCAGCTTCTGTTTCATTTTCAAAGCCAAGGAACAAACAAAAGAGAGAAGCTGATTGGTTGCCATGAGCAACTGCTCCAGATTTTGATAAATTCCCCTCGCAGTGTATGGTAAAAATACAAATCCTTACACCGTCTTTGTAATTTTAATTAAAGGGCCAAAACTAAATCTGTATTTCTATATTGAATTTTCTATAAGTTCTATCCCACTCCTAACAGCCATATCCATCTAGTTGTTTGTAAACTTACTTATTGAAGATGTCCATAGGATGTGCTTCCTTAATGACACAATTTCACGCAGCCCTGGGAAGATGCACTTTGTGTTACAATGCTCACGGAGCCTGCATTGCCTCCTGAACTACAACTCAATGTCTGAGCAATGTAACATCAGCTTAGCTTTCTGGAAGCAATGCATGATGGGATATGTTGTCTGGAGAAATGGAGATGCATCACATGAAGCAACAAGGAAAAAGACCAAAAGCACACTGGGAATCCAGGAAGTTGATGAAAGTGATGGGCAGACGGAAGGCAGCACTCCCTACATAAAAGGGATTTTTCATGAAGCTTTGATTGCATTATCAATAACAAATACAGTATGTGTTCCTATTACAATGCTGATGTTATAACAGGATAATATATGCTGGGACTGAGTACACCGCAACATAAAAGTGTGGTGCAGGACATAGGGTGCATTTCTTAATGTCAGGACAGAGTGATGCACATAAAAGAGCCTTGTTGTGGAAACACCGTAAGCGTGCATTACCTCAATACATAGGTGTGAAGCCGATCTTACTGTTATTCCATTAGGTGGTATGCAAGTATCTGGAGCCATTTATGATTTAATTTCCTCCCCTTCTCTCCGCTTTTCTTTGTGTCCTGAATAGGCTCATCATACCTTGCTAGGCAACGTTTATGGTGTGCATTCTATTATACTCAGAGGTCATACAATAAGTGTCGAGTGAGGATAGCTTGAGATGTTACATAAGGAGTGCCTGCTGTCGAACATGAGACTGTATATGAGACTGTATATGAGCATTTCCACAATAGGTTTTGTATAGCTTCATCCTTTTATCTATTTTGAAAAGAACCAAGCTTTCCTACTTTACAACTGAAATGGTTACATTTGGGATAGCTGTGTCCACTTTTACTGGAAAGCCACTAGGGGGCAGTGTTACTACAGCAGTGATTTTATACTGGTCTGTTGTCCATCTCTTTCTCCATAACCTTGTGAATGAAAATGAAAAGCAAAGCAAAGTGGACAACTCCTAATTTCTGAAGCTCTGTGGCTGAAGGCCATACAGTGAAGACCAGATACAGATAACCCATTTAAAGAATGAGAATTGGTAGATAATTCATATTAAACTTTTTCACAAAGTTGTAATTTTAACGAGACATTTCTTACACAGCATGGACATACAGCCCAAAAGACATTTTGCTACTCCTCCTGAGTATGGGGGTACCTAAAGCACTGTCAGGCTTTCAAAGGGTATCAATTACATAATGATGCAGGCACTGGTACATACTGAAATGGACTGCATTCAGAGACTGAAACTATGGCGGCAAATGGCAGCTAATCTCTCCTTTGTCATAGCAGGGGGATCAGAGAGAGGACTGCAAACCACAGCCATTGTTTACATTTGTGATCGCACTGTGATTGATCACAAGGTACAGAGTGGCTCTAACTGGCTTCTAGACATGTGCGATTCGTTTCGTTACGAATCGAAATTCGGACGAATTTTCGGAAATTCGGATGTATCCGAATTCCGAATTACAGACATAACGAATGCAAACTAATCCGAATTTCCATTTCCGAAATTCGGTAGCGTTAGTTCGAACGTTAGTTTCGTTTTCTGTTCTTATTCGTTTCTTATTCGTTTCGTTCGTTGGAGCAAAGTGACATTAGAGAAGGAGAAAAATATTTTTCCCCCCTCAATTGTCACTTTGCTGCAAACGAACGAATGAAACGAATAAGAACAGAAAACGAATAAGAACAGAAAACGAATAAGAACAGAAAACGAATAAGAACAGAAAACGAATAAGAACAGAAAACGAATAAGAACGCTCGATCTAACGCTACCGAATTTCGTCCCAACCTGAATTGACTTTCACACCCGAATCCCGAAATAACACAAATCCGAATTTAAAACGAAATGAAACTAAACGAATTTTTTGGCAGTGCACGTCTACTGGCTTCTATCTTTTTGCTGCTGTGTACAATTGCAGCAAGATTGTAGGACTGAGCACGTATGAGTGTTGTCCTGAGAGGACATACCTGTACGTTCACCACTGAGGCCATGTCCACACCATGTCTGGACCAGATGTGCAATGCAGTTTTTTTTAGCTTAAAATGGGTTTTCAGGTGCAGTCCAGTGTTTTCCAGTGTATCGCAGAGCAGAGAACATGAGACAAGCAGTATTTTTTTTGTCTGGACTTGAACAGCCTGGAATTTCTGGGCTTTGTTCAAACCAGTGCATATATTGGGATTTTTTTTTGGTCCAGGAACACGCTGTCCTGGTCTGGACATGGTGTGAACAAGCCCTAAAAGGTAGAGTGTTTACTGAAATCTGATTTACACTTCCTACTAGCAGAACCAATAAGCAACTAGTAAGAGACCGCTTTCAATAAAAGGAAATGCAAACGTATGCATATGAAATAAAAAGTCTAACACTATACATTTTATAGAAACCGTTTTTATTCCAATGAATTTGATATCATCACGGTCTTCTCATTTCCAATTTAAAAACTGAACATTTATTGGGTGGAATGTACAAGTCAATTTACTGTATGTTCCAATAAGTGGTGTTAGACAGTCACTTGTCTTGGTCACTTTCAGATTAGTCCAGTGCTGCATATACAGTACTGGTTAGGTGGTAAACAGCTTTATGCCAGTCACTGAACAAAGGCAACTGGTTTAAGGAATCTTCAAGTTCTGGCAGACGCAGTGATGGAAGAGCATTGTCTGATCTGGTGGGCTCTCCTCTTAGATTACTCTTTGGCAATTCCAAATGGCTTCTCTACCTCAATTATTCCACAATCTACAAGGATCACATCTTTCAGAGGCTTGTCTCGGGAATCTGTCTTGGTAGATTCAATTTTTCTAACCACATCCTACAGAAAACCACAAAACAAAAAAGATACATAAATTCAAACACAGAAACTAGATAAAGAACTATAAACACACAAATAAAACAATATAGCTGATGGACTTTGAGGTGATCCTGTGCACAGATCACACACATTGCAGTATTTATATCATCTGAACAAGCAGTAAAAAAGTAACTTTAAACAGACTCATTCATCTCTATCTCTCATCATTGTAGAGAAGTTCATCAACGTTCACACAACACAGGCACGGTTACAATTACAATAGAGCAGAACCTTGGAAGTCCTCTAATGTAAACGTGAATTTACAGCATTTGCTGGGCTCTTTGAGAAGGAACAACATTACAATACATATCAGATAGAGAGGCGAGTGAGGTCTTGTTTAATGTTTTACGTTCTATAGCCTGGGCACAGGTACACTTTAATGCTTCCCTGCCCATCTGGAGGGTGAAACTCTATACAGAACTGCATTGCGGTACATGTCCAGAAAGCATCTCCAAGTAAATCTGAAATGTATTAATGCAAGTGGGCAATACCATACTGTGGTGGAAAGGATCTGGACGGGGGTGGTTTCTAGCTTGCCACATGGAAGTGAATTTACAGTTAACCCGTGTTGGGTTATTAAGCTTCCCTTAGTTTGTGTGTGGTCACTATATCAACCTGGCAATACTGGGGAGTGCAGATATTTTGGTATGGATTTATAAAGACGCTCCTCCCTACACAACTCCTGCAAAAATTGGGTGCACTGCCATTTTTGATGCAGTAAAATATTTAAAACAAAACCAAGTGAGTCATACGAGAACCTGGCACTATAACCTAGAGCATAAAACGATTCTTAAAATAGTAGCTGTGTTGTGATTTCAAGGTGTAAAAAATTAGGCAGAGTGAACGTAGGTTAGTTAACTGGTAAGATTCTGACTCCTCTACAGAGGCAAGGGCTGAGGGTGGAGTGAAGCTGCAGTGGGTTGTCACTTCTGTTAATGTAATATTGCAGTCCAGGATTGGTTTAATGCATTGGCTGACCATGCATTAAACCAATCCTGATTGAGTGTTGCTCCCCCCCAGAGACACTGTTGGTTAACAAGATGGCATGCACTGGCTGGGCAGGATTACAGATCATAACTATGTGTGTCACCATGTCAGTCTTTAGTCCTGATAAGTTGTCACCATACTAAAGGGAGTGCCACTGAGGTTCTACTGTATATGGTACGAGGAAAAAAGGGGAGGACAGAAAGGATACAATATGCAGGTTTAAAAGGCACAGGGTCAGCTATAGGTTCATTTTTAGCATTTGGGGTTGCATACACTTACAGCATTTAAAGACAAGTACTGATCAAATGTTTACATACAAGTCTAAATATATGTTGTTCTACAATGACGCAGTTTCAAATCAATATAAAAAATGGAACTGAAACTTCTTACCTCTCCTTCTATCACTTTACCAAACACCACATGTTTGCCATCCAGCCAAGTTGTCTTAACTGTGGTGATAAAAAACTGAGATCCATTGGTGTCCTTGCCAGCATTTGCCATGCTCACCCAGTAGGGACCATAGTGCTTGAGCTTGAAGTTCTCATCAGGGAACCTGTCCCCATAGATGCTTTTACCTAAAGAAGAAGAGACATTCTTAGCATTACCCTTTCCTTGTGTTTATGGGGAATGAGGATTAGATTGTGATATAATGTTTTACTTGGGTCGAGAGATTTCACCATTTACTGAGTCTTACCAGCAGCAGCATATTTCTTTCAGTCTGCTACAAATGAGGTGACGGTCAAATGGGTTTAAAGTTTTGGTTTTTTTTTTTAGAGAGAATATGGGAGAGCTCATGGTTGACCTCTTCTCCAGAAATGCTAGTTGAATGGATGTCCTAACTATTTAATGATTGGGCTTTGAGCCACTGACATGAAATGAATATGCACATGAGTTTGGACCTCACTGACAGTAAAAACAGAAAGCACTAAGTGCAGAGCTAACCAGGCAACTAGTATTCTTAGTAGGTCTGTAATGGTAACCCCATATTTGTTAGCATTCAGTTACTCGCTTGTGTAGCACTTAACGTCACACTGGACGTACCTCACCAGTAGCAGTAATAATGAGGTGTATCCCTTCCTTGGTGGCCAGAATGCTGAAAATCCTCACTCACTCACTGGTGAGGAAATTGCACCAGAAAAGCAACTCAATGGTTCAGTCACCAAGGAGGCAATGCCTAAGAAAGCAAATGCTTTCCACTGAATTCTCTCACCAGGAACAGGTTCACTGGTGTGGCATGGCCATTACAATGCACGTTCTTCCACTAAAAGTGATTAACATATGTCACTAAAGAGACTCATGTGAGACATATGGGGGCTGCCCTTGCCGTTCTCATTCTAAAAATGCATGACTATGTCTGACTTCAGTCCCAGTCCTGGGAACAAGCATGCTGTAAATGAGTTAGAAGAGTATCGGAACTCATCTCTATACTTGTTTCGGGTCAGTGACCCTGAATGCACGTATGCATATCATGGTCATATATAACCATGATTGTTACAGGTCAGTGACTTACCAAGCAGTAAAAGAAAGATGTAACCAAGTCAGCAGTGGTATCTCCCATATTTCTATCCTGACTGGTCCTTCTCATGATTTTATAGCCATCTAGACTGAAAGAAGAATCCCATTTCTAGCTATGTGCATCCATATGGGGACAAAGGAAAGCCCATATTTTTAGTGATGGCCGTTACTTACTAGTTGCCTGGCTATATCTACCTGCGATAGGAAAGGGCTTACTGACCCAGAGGAAAAAGAGGAGAAGAATCCACTCCCATAAGGACAACTCATGTTTCCCTGACCTGCCAAGTAGTATTGTTAAGCAGCATGATGCATTGATGGGGTAAACACCTGCAAAGTTTGTGATGGGGTCAGCAAAGGGAAAACCTATTGCAAAGTTAGTTAATTTGTTACCTCACTAAAGTTTTGCCCTGAAATAAGTCTGAACGTTTCCCTCAATCAAGAAGGAAAAGCGAAATTGAATATCAGACAAAACTGACCTCCTGTACCATCTCCTCTAGTGAAATCTCCTCCCTGAATCATGAAGTCTTTGATAACACGATGGAACTTGCTGCCCTTGTAGCCAAATCCTTTCTGAAAGAGAAAATTAACAGATTGTTAGCTACAAAAATTGCTATCTACACTAAGTCATAACCCCGAAATCCTTGTGTAGTACAGCTGCCTGTATTCATGTCTCGAAATGCAAAACATATAGCTCAAAGGGAATAACATACAACCATGAGCAGCCAAGTAGTTCTATGACCGGGGTAAAAGGAGCATACACGCATCTAAGATTTGTTTTTTGTTTTAAAGAGAAAACAGAATAAAATGCAGAAAACCATAGTGCTAGTTTAACTGGCCGTAGGCCGAGTATGTGGTGTATGATATGAACAATTCAATGTATTTTACAGCTCAGCATATAAAATATATATACACTACATAAATAGAGGAAATCAGTGTGTATGTTTAAAGCCATCCTATAGTGTCTGCGAGGAAGATTACATGTATGCAACAAGAACAGCATTTGCTCACAATGCACAGATATTAACATGACGTACAGAACAAAGCATCAGTCTAGTCTTCTGTGGGAAAAGGTTTGAATGGTTTACTCCAAAAGTAAAAAGTTTTCTAACCAAATGTATTTGTTTTACTACAATCAAGGCAGCCCAGGATAGTCAGATACTTAGAAATGGCACTTCAAGCTGCACTTGGCCTTCAGAAACAAACATCACATTGGGTATAGACAAGAGGCTAGAGACTAAGAATACAGATCTTGAAGCAGAACTGCAGCTGCTGTACTCGTATATAAGGGGATAAAAGTGAAAGAACAGTTCTTATATTAAGGAACTGTGGCTTAATGCCATGCCAACAGGACTCTGTGACAGATTGGCATGCACTTTGAAGGGGCAATAAAAGAGGGCAGAGCCAATACTCAAAATGAAGGATTGTAGAATTAAACTCTGACTGAAGTCACTTATTTATTAAGAGTCCAATGAAAACCAGAACCCCATAGCACCCAATCACACCAATACACCTCTCATTTTAATTTGTCCCAACTGATGAGTTATGAACGGTCGGGAAGTCATTTGAGACCCTCAAATGTCATGAACTTACCTCGCCAGTTGACAGAGCAACAAAGTTCTCAACAGTCTTGGGGACAGTTTTGCCAAAGAGGCCAAAGACTACTCTTCCGATTTCCTCATCTCCAATCTTTATATCAAAGTACACCTGTGGAGGAAAGGACAAGAAAACAAGATTATGTAGAGCAGTAAAGGTGATATACAATTATCATAAACACACAGACAGACTTTGAATGTTTTGTTCCCTGTATAGCTTCCATTGTTTAGGATTTCAACTCAAATGATAAAAAGTGACATTAAGTAATAAAGAAGTTTAATCTTTCAGTGTTTAATTCCCCGGGCCGGATTAATGCTGATACCTGACATTAACCATATACAATTTAGTGTTTAATTCCCCAGTCTGGATTAACGCCGATACCTGACATTAACTATATACAATTTAGTGTTCCTGGCATTTAAGCAAATCCAAAGATTAGTAAACCACCAAATTATTGAAGATAACATTTTGCCAAAGAGGCGGTGGAATACTAAAAAGGTGATAATAGGATAATGTGAAAGAAGTGACCTTTGCTCTGTGACAATAACGTAAACTTAAGATAAAACTTTACCATACTACATATAATCATTGAATTCTAATAGCTGTAATTTTGGGTGACCAATAACACATGGCACATGGCCAGCTGACACAAATTACTGGCATGCAGTAAAGGTCAAGGCATGTCTTGTAACAAAAAGGGCACATCTACCTATATCTGGTCTCTCATGAAGCCATGTTCTGCAATCCAGGATAATAAAATACCATCAGATAACACTCTGTACACCCCTTCATCTAGATTTTACCAGGCTAATAGACTGAGAAGAGAAATGATTTTCTCAACCAAAATAAAATGAGTCTCTGCAGACAAGCCTGCTAAAGCTGCAAAGAAGAAGCATTTTTTTATATAGTCGGCATATGTGAAAGCAATCACGCCAACATCCTTAGTGAGATTTCTCTGCTGCAGAGGATGATGACTGAGCAGCAAAGTGTAGTGACTGAGGGACAACTGATGTAGTCAGATTAACCATTGACGTGTCAATCTGAGCAGACAAGGCAACTGTAAAACCGTCACTGCCTGCCAATAGGAAGTAAAGTCACCATATGGAATCCCCAATTATAACTGCACATTAAAAGGAGAATTATGAGGTGAGTGATTTTCATTCAGCCTCATAATCTGAGCCGACCTGTGACAATGAAACTGTCACAGGTCGGCTCAGTAGATCGAGAAGTGAGCCAACACATACCGGCGCTCGCTCACTTCTCGATCTATCAGTGCAGAGAGCCGTGACAGGGGAGGGCCTGGATTCCTCCCTCCCGTCTGATCCTCCAGCGCTGACTGGCGGAACGGACGGGGGAGGGTTCAGCAGGCTCTGCCTCTAGATGGGCAGTGCCAGCTGTCACTCACGCAGCTGGGCGGATCCAGACATAATTGTATACCAAGCTTTGGGTGACGGGAGGACGCTAGTTTGTGTCCTCCCATTACCATTAGGAGAACTATGGGGAAAAGCCCTAACCCCATAGTTCTCCTTTAAGGTGAACACATGTAGATTCACTAGGATGATCCTGCAGCTGAAAAGATCACATCTATAGGGGGGAACCATCATCGGTATTGAATATTTTCAGCCTCCTTCACAGGCAACAACAAGCAGGCTCAGGAGATCTGTGAGCATGTTTCAGCAATATCAGTAATAAAAATGTCTGGCACATTCGGGACTATGAGCTGCAGGATATGACTGTGCTGAAGGCGTGCTGGGCAACCTCACCCCTCTCCTCCTGTTGTGGAGCTACAAGTCCCATGAGGAATTGCAAGACTCAGCCAGCCACAGGCATGAGAGGATTTCTAGTTTGTCAAGGTAGCCTACTCCTGCCCTGTCCCTGAGCACAGCAGGTAGTGTGTCGACATCTCAGGTATAAAATGTTAAAAAGGGACAGTGTGGAGAAGTTCTTGGAAGTACTCAAAGTGCACCGTGCCCTTACTATACATATTAAAGCAGAGGTGGACAAAATGTGGAATTCAGGAGACGGCAAGACTTTTCTTTAGGAGCCAGCTCCATTGACAACAACTAAAGACTTCTGAAATGTAGGTGCCACATGTAGTTTTTAAGGAGCATCGGCTACCTGCATTAAGTGTTTACAGATTGTGAAGGAGCAGTAAAAGCCCTCACTCACCTCTGTAGCTATAAGCAGCAGAAACTTGGTAGCCAGACAGCCCATGAATGTAAACAGCCGGAGCTTGTGAGCCATTAGAAACTGACAAACCCTGCTTAAGAGACTCTGATCCTGAGGAGAAATGACACCACAGTACATGCAGCTAGAGAGATCAGGAATAGCTCATCTGAAACCCCCTTTACTGCTTCTTACAAATATATAAAAATATTTGAATTTCCCTAGTGTGGGCACAGGAGCAACTATCAGACACTTTACTGTTTTGCAATCAGGAATCACAGATCTTTTGTGAAATTCTACTTTTAATTGAAGAAAAAAAAAAGTTTATTTAGAAAAACAAACAGAAAAAAAATGTGACAACATAAAAAGCTTCCCTACAGATTAGTGATGTATATGTGGAACCTGAGTCCAGATCTCACTGAAATATATATATCAGCCCAACGACACCCTACAGAAAAACAGCATCACTTGGGGCTTGAAGCCGCAGATTGGGAGCAGAGTAAAGGTGCCCAGAAACATGGGCATTTTGTGGTACATGGAAATGTCACCGGGGTGGACAAATTACAATGGAATCAGGAGCCGATATTGCCAATCCAGGAGTCAGCGGGATTTCTTTTCAGGAACCAGCTCCATTGACAACAACTAAAGAAAACCTCCAAAGTTAGGCGCCAGCTGTAATTTTTAAAGGAGCATTGGCTTCCCGTCTCCTGGGATTTGTCCAGCCCTGACCCTAGTTAACCATTCTGCAGGGAATACGATGGATCGGACAGGAAACTGACTGACCACTACTGGCAAACATGGGTGCACTGCTAAGCAGAGTATGCATATAGATCAGTGGCAATGAAGGCTAGATTACACCATAGTGCAAGCATTACTGTGCACACAACACACACTCTCGGAGATGTGCAGCAATCACTTTTAACACACCTTGAAGTGCATCTTTTTCTTTTACCCTTTTCCCAGTTCTATGCTTCTACCATGCGCTGCAGTGTGTAAAGACATAACACTGCACATACCAATGCAGAGTTATGAACAGAAACCAAAGCAAATTAGGCAATTTACCTTGTCCTTTTTATAGGATAACACAGCCCGGGACTGCTGGAGTGAACAAGCCCTTACTACGGTATCAGTATTCGGCACCACCAGCTGCTTCCTTGTAGAGCTTCTCTGGGCCCACAGTGTGCAAGCAGCCAGAGAAAATCTGCTATTTGGAGCAGGACTGGACAAATCCCAGGAACCAGGCAGCCAATGTGCCCTAAAAATTACAGCTGGTGCCTAACTTCTGAGATTTTCTCTAGTCGTTGTCAGTGGAGCTGGCTCCTAAAAAACTATATCCTGCTGGTTTGTGGATTGAATGGACTGGCTGCTGAATTCCATATGAAATGGTCTACCCCTAATTTAAAGTAAATGCCAATTAAGAAGTTTGCCGTCTCCAGATTTAAGGTTTACATGTTCTACATATAAAGCTCCAGTTATCCTCTTTTTACATGTAACAGTGGTATTGTGCTATGATAGCTCAAACACACTTCAGATCAGAGCACCACAGCTCTCTATGTCGTGGCCCAACACAATAGTGTGGACTTGACTGTGACCTCTGTGAGACTTGCCGATCACACAAGTCTCACAGAGGAATTTGAGAGACTGAGTGATCCAGCACCAGTCACACGTTTTTGAAAGCTTGCACCTCAAAAAATATTCAGTTTGCCACATGACTGGTAGCACCTACATTTTTACTTTGGCAAATGGTAATCCCTGTAGAGCCCAAAAGAGTGAAGGGCCACCCAATTATCCTTGGACCACACATAGTGAATGCAGGACAGGTTGAGGCTTGATACACAGGCTGCATTCCTAGGCTGTAGGCTACGTTTATGCTAATCTTTTTTTTTTTTTCTTGGTCCACCTTAATTGCAGAACATTTGATGGCTACATGAAACTTCAAACAGATGACATTCCATCCAATTATATTTTCTTCTTGGATGCTACCCCCTTAGGTTACATCTTCCTAACATTTGCTATTGATCATTTCCAAAGGCTGGCCAGCCATATACAAACAGATCAGTTGTCCTGCAACAAATGTTATTGACTTGGATGGTAAAACTGAATGGTCTGATCTGGCTGCACATTTTTGGGAGCAGTTTATCTGCAGCCTCATACCTATGCCAGTACAGCCCTTGTATGTCCAGATCATGCAGCCCTTGTTTTCCTAGCAGGAGAGGTCTCAGAAAAGGGATGCCCCAATACCGGCATCCTACTGAAAGAAAGGATCTCTAGAAAGGGAAAACATGTTCCGGTCACCAAGAGCCAATCAGAGTAGATGACTGCCAATTTACTGAAGAACATAGGTAGAGGACATCACTGTACTGTGCAATCCTCAACATTCGCTTTCACAATGATAGGGGTACTAGGCAATGGAAGGACCTGTGACCACCACTTTTGTTTGCTTCAAATGTTTTATGCATTCCAATAAAATCATATGGGAATGTAAACGCCGCTTACAGCAGGTAAATGCAGTTCAGAAGGTGTACCGGTCAATTCATTAATTCATACACTGGACATAATCCTCTGACCTTCTATAGGAACCCAATGCGAGAGTCAGTCAGGGATAGCAGAAGTTCATACACTGCACAGGGTCTTCTCCCCTTCTATAGGAACCCAATGTGAGAGTCAGTCAGGGGATAGCAGAAGTTCATACACTGTACATGGCAATCTCTCCACTATATGAACTTAATGAGAGGGTCAACAGAATAGCAGAAGTCCACACTCTGTACATGGTCCTCTCCCATACTATAGGAACCCAATGAGAGGGTCAGCAGGATAGCAGAAGGCATTTGACTATACATAGTCCTCTCCCATACTATAGGAACCCAATGAGAGGGTCATCAGAATAGCAGAAGTCTACACTGTCCATGGTCCTCTCCCATACTATAGGAACCCAATGAGAGGGTCAACAGAATAGCAGAAGTCCACACACTGTACATGGTCCTCTCCCATACTATAGGAACCCAATGAGAGGGTCAACAGAATAGCAGAAGTCCACACACTGTACATGGTCCTCTCCCATACTATAGAAACCCAATGAGAGGGTCATCAGGATAGCAGAAGGCCTTTGACTGTACATGGTCCTCTCCCATACTATAGGAACCCAATGAGAGGGTCATCAGAATAGCAGAAGTCTAGACTGTACATGGTCCTCTCCCATACTACAGGAACCCAATGAGAGGGTCATCAGGATAGCAGAAGGCCTTTGACTGTACATGGTCCTCTCCCATACTATAGGAACCCAATGAGAGGGTCATCAGAATAGCAGAAGTCTAGACTGTACATGGTCCTCTCCCATACTATAGGAACCCAATGAGAGGGTCATCATGATAGCAGAAGTCCATACACTGCACATGATACTCTCCCCACTATAGGAACCCAATGAGAGGCTCAGTCAGGGAAGGCAGCAGTCCATACACTGCACATGGTCCTCTCCCATACTATAGGAACCCAATTAGAGGCTCAGTTCAGGGAAGGCAGCAGTCCATACACTACACATGGTCCTCTCCCGTACTATAGGAACCCAATGAGAGGCTCAGTCAGGGAAGGCAGCAGTCCATACACTGCACATGGTCCTCTCCCATACTATAGGAACCCAATTAGAGGCTCAGTTCAGGGAAGGCAGCAGTCCATACACTGCACATGGTCCTCTCCCATACTATAGGAACCCAATGAGAGGATCAGTCAGGGAAGGCAGCAGTCCATACACTGCACATGGTCTTCTCCCTACTATAGGAAGCCAATGAGAGGGTCAGCCAACGTGTCAGCATTCCACACACTGCACATGGTCTTCTCCCTACTATAGGAAGCCAATGAGAGGCTCAGTCAGGGATAGCAGCAGTCCATACAATGCACATCAATCCCCAACATTTAGGAACCCACTGAGAGGCTCAGTCAGGGATAGCAGCAGTCCACACACTGCACATGGTCCTCTCCCATTATGTAGGAACCCACTGAGAGGGTCAGCCAGCGTGTCAGCAGTCCATACATTTCAGTGTTCTATCCTACTAGATAAACCCACTGAGAAGGCCATCATGGATGGCCGCCCCAATACACTGCTCACTGTCTTCTACCGTACTATAGGAACTCAATGAGAGGCTCAGTCAGGGATGGCAGCCCCCATACGCCGCTCTATGATATGTGAAGGCGGCACAGGGCGCACCCCGGCGTCTGAGAAGGAGCTCTGCATTACCTTGACGGTAACCTTTGGTCCCTTCTTCTTCTCATCGGCCTCGGAGGCACCAGGGAAGAGTAGGAAGATGACGGAGCCCGCAATGAGGGCAGCAGCAAAAAGTAACTTCATGTTTCTCTCCAGCAACCGCAGCATCAATAGAGACAACCGGCCTAGAACAGGGACAAAAAGAGGGGCTGCAGGAGTGACGTCAGGGCGACGGGGACTGTACCAAGCTGAAGTGAAGGGGGGAAAGGGGTGTGATCTTAGTGTCTTTTGGTTACAGTGTGTCACGTTTACTAAACCGTGAATACGCTGCACAGAGAAGACATGCGTATACCGAGACTAATATAATCATCTACAGCTACTCTCCGAGAATAATAAACTCATCCGCTGAACGGGCAGCGATGGCTATTAAGAAAAGGAACGATTCTGTTTTACGGCCCCCGTCATTGCTTAATTCAGCATGCTGCAATTTAATTAGCAGTACTTACAGAGGCGTCTTGTTATAACACCCTGAAATACTATTACCAACTATGCAGTTTTAAAGATTGGACTGTACCATTGCCTGAAACCCCCGTGCGACCCTAGACTTGTGTGCCACGTTACGACTTAGGCATTGGTTTGTGAGACTGCCCAATAGGAGACCGCCATGACAGCCTATGCGAAAGCGGAGCTCTTATAGTGGACCGCCCAGAGTAAGGAGGCGCTAGGTTAGTAGGAACCAGTAGCAGGACATGGAAGTGATGTAATGGAAAGGGGCGGAGCCTAAAGCGAGCATATATTAAACCCGGCAAACTCAAAGTGAGTGTTCACTGTTCAGTATCGCCAGCTTATTTTTTTTTCTAGAGGTGTATGGTTTAACCAGTTGACATCCGCGGTGTTAAACCCCCTTCCCATCCAGGCCATTTTTCAGTATTCAGCGCTGCGGTACTTTAACTGACATTTATTCCGTCATGCAGCGCTGTACTGAAATGAATTTTATACCCTTTTTTGGGGACAGATAGAGCTTTCTTTTGGTGGTATTTATTCACCACTGGGGGTTTTATTTTTTTACTATATTAAGGAAAAATTACCGAAACCTGTATGATGTAAATACATATGTGTAGGGTGAGGCGTGCAGCCATGACAACTCATATCAAAGACTGGCCCCTACATGATGTACAAATCTATCTTGATTCTTCTCATTTATCACAGACCTGACAACCGTTACCTATGGATACTGCATACATTTATTTTATTATACATACTTGATATCATTGCTTTATTTCTATATAAACACATTACTGTGCAAACCTTCCATTCTATATAAATCCTGTATAATAATAATCTGTATTCTGGGTGGAATTCTCACCCTTATTATACACCGATCAACCATAACATGACCACCGAGTAGGGTTGCCACCCGTACGGTTTTCACCCGGACAGTACGGGTTTTGGATCCTGTGATGCTATAGGAAGCCGGTGCATGCTTGACTGAACACTGGGTCATAGAAGAGCCATCGAGGTGCGAAGGAGGCCGGGTCCTGCAGCACCAGTCCATCGGTGGAGGAGGCCGGGGACCAAGCAGCAGGTAAGATGATCACACTGCTGCTAAAGGTACCCTGCACAGCCCACCTGAGAGTCTCGGGTGGGCTACACAGGATCTGTGGTGGAGTCTATGTTGGCCAGAGCCCACCACACATCCCGCACTGGTCTGCAGGGTCTTAGGGGGTGTGTGCATGATCTGTGGTGGGCTCTGCAGGGTCTCGGGGGCTTTGCAGGATCTGTGGTGGGCTCTATGGCAGAGCCCACCACAGATCCTGCACAGCCCCCCTGAGATCCTGCGGATTAAGTGGGGGGGGGGCGCTGTAGTTTAATCTTGCCTAGGGCGGCCCCAAACCAGAGTACACCACTGTGTACAGATTGTATATATGTGGATCTGTGGCACACTGGCATCTTTGTGATTACCTCCAATGTTAATCACAAAATATGTGCATAGTGTACTTTACCAAAAAATTGCCGCGAGGCGCTACAGTGTTCGGGTTTGGCTTGAAGAGAAGGTGGCAACCCTACCACCGAGAGGTAAAATGAATCACATGAATTATCTCCTTACAATGGCACCTGGAAGTGGGTGGGATATATTAGGCAGCCAGTGAACATTTTATCCCTGAAGTTGATGTGGAAACAGAAAAAATAGTAAGGAAGTGAGCAATTTTAACAAGTGCCAAAGTGCGATGGCTAGACAACTGGGTCAAAACAACTCCAAAACTGCAACTCTTGCGGAATGTTCCCGGTCTGCGGTGGTCAGGACCTACCAAAAGTGGTCCAAGGAAGGAAAATCGGTGAACCGGTGACAGCGTCATGGGGCAGCCAAGGCTCATTAATGCACGTGGAGAGTGAAGGCTGGCCAGTGTAGTTTGATCCAATAGAAGAGCTGCTGTAGCTCAGTTTGCTGGAAAAAGTAAATGCTGGTTCTGATAGAAAGGTGTCTTTAACACACAATGCATCGCAGTTTGATGCGTATAGGGCTGCGTAGCCGAAGACCAGTCAGGGTGCCCATGTGGACTCCCCTTGTGACGCCACTGATGCCACCTACCTAAATTTGGTTGCTGACCAAATCTACACCTTCATGGAAACGGTATTCTCTGATGGCAGTGGCCTCTTTCAACAGGAAAATGAACGCTGCCACACTGCAAAAATGGTTCAAGAATGGTTTGAGGAACACAATGATTTGGAGGTTTTTAACCTGGCCTCCAGATCTCAATCCAATCAAGTCTCTGTGGAAAGTGCTTAAAAAACAAGTCCGATCCATGGAGGACCCACCTCACAACTTACAGGACTTAAAGGAGCTGCTACTGACAACTTGGTGCCAGATACTACAGAACACCTTCAGAGGTCTAGTGAAGTCCAGGTCTCAACAGGTCAGGGCTGCCATGCTGGAAAACGGGGACCCTTTTCAATATTAGGTGGGTGTTCATAAGGTTATGGCTGATCAGTATATATGTAGAACATTACACTGTGGCACCTCCCTTGTTCTATATGCAATTCTTTGTTATATGTCTATGAACATTGTACTGTAGCACTTCTTGTGTCCTGTAAGCTAGGTGTACTACTCACTGTTATTATATGCAGTATGACTGAATATTGCACAGTGCTAGCAGTAATTTCTGGTCTCTTTTCCGATTATGTATATATGGACACTATTTGCACTATATATGGACGTGCAGTTGCACTTCTCATGTTCTGTACACTAGCAGTAATTCTTGGTATCTGTTCTCTGTCTGTATACAGTGAGGAAAATAATTATTTGATCCCCAATTTTGTAAGTTTGCCCACTGGTTCCTAACGCCTTTTGACAGCTCTTTGGTCTTGCCCATGGTGGTGAGATTTGAATGGAAGAAAGAAAGATGGACAAATAGGTGAGCAATTGGCATCACAGTCTCCAGCTGTCCAAAGAGTACAACTAACCCTTAGTTAGGCACAGTAGCAAGGAAACACAGCAAAGATGTTTTTACTGCCAAGGCTGAGAGGCACGAAGCAAAGCCATCCCATAAAGAGCTTGGAGCAGGGAGAAATGTTAGTATTTTACCAGCATACTTTAAAAGGTACAGTTAGTATACATTTCTTTTTTTTAAACATCTTTTAACACATTAAAGTCACTTAAAACATTTAGCATACAATCTTTAACCTGTACCCAATTAAACAGCAATGTATTTGCAGCTTTTTACACTTGCTCAATTTGGCTAGCAATTCTGTTTCTCTCCTGCTCAGGCACAAAGCAGAATGAAGCAAAAGGCATGACATCATTGCACAGGTTCGTTCCAGCTTCAACTAGAGATGGATGTTGTACCTTTCTTAGCAGTTTACAGCAGAGAGCCTCATAGCATTTATTGGAGTCATTCAAATGCCATTTTTCTTTGGCAGTCAGGCCATGGTGCCATTCTTTCTCTCTCTCGAAGTTGTAAATGCAGATTGAAAGAAAAATTAATAATAATGAAGGTTCAAGACAGCGTGATGGAAGGTGTGCAGATAATTTTAACATTTCTTGAATTGCTTTTAGAACTGGTGGGTCTGGGAGTAATTCAAATGTTAGTTGTGTGCATAATCATATGGTCAGTTTCTGAACAGAAAAAGAGAAGGGGCTGGTCTGGCTGTTGTGACCTTTTGAAGCTAGTGAGTGTACATATCAATGAACCAGAACAGACATTCACATCACTAAAATCAGAATATAATGGCACTTGTTATGAGTCAGTGGGAGAATTAATAGGAAAAAAACAATTTATGAGACTAGTTCTTTCTCAACTGGTGTGACTATCCATAGCAACCAATTAGCTTCTAACTTTCACTTTTTCCACAGTTTAGAAAATTAAAATTGAAAACATTGATCGGCTATGTTCCAGTTGAGCCAAAATTTGCCTCAGACACTTTTATATTTGTATTAAGTCTCCAAGTGTCAAAGTGTTTCCTCAAGACAGTAAGCATAACAGCCAGGCAACTAGCTTTTTAAAAATTTAAAGCAACGTATGCTAGCATCCATTTCTCTCTCAGGAAAGGTTTTCTTTATGTCAACAAAAAGAAACAAATTTAGATTTTGTTCAAACATTAAAAACATTGTAGTTTGAGGGCCACACTAAAATGATCCATTCAAATTATACACAGCCAGATTCTCACACTATAAAACTGGCGATACATTATTTTATCTGTCATATTAAACTTAACACTTACAGAGTTCATGATTTATTTTTGCCATGTGTGTCTACATTTCATCAGTTTGTTTTGCTGAATCTAAATATGTAGATCAGTCATTGACTATGAAATTGTGAACAATTATTAAGGGCTTGCTCATAGTATGTGAAATGTTGTAACATGCAAGAGGCAACGGTGTCCTCAATAGTGCTTTGCAGTGCAACTCTTTTTTAAAAATAGTTCCAACACAGTCTATAAAAAACAAAAAAACAGCACTTGAAAGTAGAAATTAAGTAAAAAAAAATATGCAGATTTGTTATATTATATGGGACATTTAGAAATGTTAATTGCAAGTTAGCAGTAACCTGAAAATATACATTTTCGACTGGAATGCCCGAGATGCGTGGTCTGTGTGGTCCTAGACAGTTCTGTGCTTACAGCATCATAACTGTATATCTGCAGTGTAAGATCTAATTCACTACTGCCTCCGATTGCTAGTATCTGAAGATTTGGAGTGAGATTTGAAGATGGCACTGCTATGCTGCTCAGTGTTCTTGCTGGCTGCTCTGACATAAGGATGCAAACTTTGGATCTACCAAGATGGCCACCTGCACACAGAAACCAAACAGAACAAAGCATGGTAAGTCAATAATAGGGAAAGATCAGCTGCAGGGAGACCACAGGCAAAAACAGCCTGCTTTCTTTTGGGTACAGCTTGTATGACATGTCAATTAAAAGCTAAAATACCACTTTAAAACTTTTATACTCGGCGTCAAATCCTTCTCTTAAAGTCCATTGAGGGACATAGGAAGTCATACTGTCTGGTTATACTGCAGTCTACATGAGGCTTGGACAGTGGCTGGCAAGCAATGTGTAGGCGAGCACAGGATAACCATTTCTATTCCCAACATGCCCCAGAAGATGTACTGAAGCATGATCATCAACTCAGAGAGGTGGGACCTGTGTCTCTCAACTGACTCAATAAAAGTATTCTATGATTTGTACAAAATACCCTTTCCCATCCATTGAGGGACACAGAAATTCATACGTTCAGGACTTCCAAAAGCAGTCTAACTGGGGTGGGCAACAAAAAACAGCTGCTAACAGGCCCAATGTAGACAAACTGGGGACCGTGTGCAGCTCAAGAGCCGTTCAAGGATGAATGCACAAAGTTGGCACCAAATGAGACTGAACCCCCTGCCTGGTAGGAAGAGGACAATGCCAGGTGATAATTGCACAGGAACCATGCCTGATGCCAGAAGACAAAGCCTGGGACCAAACAAACTAACCAATGTCCTGGTAAGGGAAGACCAGAGTCTTCCTAGACTATAGAAAGCCAAGCCTCAAGCTCACCTGTCCCCAAAGGTTCATGACTGGAAAAACTGGCAGGAGAGATTTCCACCTTGCCAGAGCAAGGACTATCCAGAAAAAATATATCTTAAAGTTACCTCTATATCAGGCATTCTAAAAAGGTGTGGATGGTGATGCCTGCACCCTCTTTTAAAAACCAAGTATGATTGATCCCCAGGAATCAGCATGACCAACAGGAAAGGTACACTTTCTATGCAACCAGGAGGTAGGGGAAGTCAGGCAGATCTCCTGCCTAACACAGTTCCTGCCACTCAAAACTACCAGCCCCAGAACTGGAAAGCTTGTTCATCAGCCCAGGGACTACATGATCCTCAGTGGCAGACAGGTAAGTCTTCTCCAGAACCAGATCCCCAACCATAAGGGGGATGATTTAGTCTGAGAAAAGAGAAGAAAAAAAGGGAGCTCTTCAAAAGGAGGTTGGTGGGTGTACCAGAGGAGGTTAGTTGGTTGGTATACCACAATGGGAAGGCCAGTGGAATATACTAGGACAGACACTAGAGCCACCACTCTAAAGAATACTAGATATGCAGAGCCAAGACTGAAGTCAGAACCCTGGGTTGGACAGTGATTAATGAGTACTGGTTCCAGCTGATCAGACTTTCCCACAAGGAAGGGACAGGGGTGGTGCATCAGAGACACATCAGGCCTAACAGATGACCTCACATAGCCTAAGGGAGACAATTGAATACTCTGGGAAAGAGGACAGTGGCCCAGATGGGACACAGCTCCCAGTGCTGAACTGACGCATGGTCTAGAACAAGAATCTCTCAGTTCAGTAGAAAGCAAGGGAGCAGAGGTAGATCTACTAATCTGTGCGGTGACACAGAAAGGTAGAGAGTTTGTAAACCTGAATGGACAATCTTTATATCTGAATACTTTAAGGGCAAACTAACCAACAGCCTGCAAGTGTTAAACAACCCCCTCGCAGGGAAGACAGGATGTCCATTCTCTTAGGAAACTAGTAAAAAGCAAAGGCATGCTGGGAATAGGAGGGGGTGATCTTAAGCTGGCCTACAGATTATTTTTTTAGTTTGCCAGGGTCCACTCCTCTTGTAGGCAGCAGAATTAGCCAGATAGTATATGACTTCCTGTGTCCCTCAATGAACGAGAAAGAAATATGTTGATTCACAATATTTGTTGCAGTATATTTTTATTATCAACTTGCTCTTCTGTGTGGCAACATCTTTATTCAGTGTTTTCTGCAGCACTGTTATACAGATTTCCCACCAGGATCTGCTGAAGGAGAATCCAATCACTTGCCCATTCATAAGTTTGAAGTACAGTAACTTCATCTGCCTCTACCAGAAACATTAAACAGACAAACATTTATTAAAGTCCTTAAAAGAAACACAAAACAGATTTAAAAAATCCCCTTGTAGCTACAGTGCAATGCAATACTCTAAATTAAATATACCTTTAAAACAAAATACAAGAAGAAAAAAAAAGGAAGTGATCTTTGTACATTGCAGATACGTGGGAATTTTCCTGAGGGGGTGATCCATCCATGTAGAAGAGAGTAGGAAACAGAGGAGGGTCTACATGAGTCCTAGGTTTACCTCCAAAAGCGAGCGAAGCATCTTATGAGGCATATCCATGTGGCAATTTATTTTCAGTGTCTGGAAGTTCAAATTGAAGACTGATCAGCATGAAACAAAAAGGCACTGGAGCAGTAGGGAAACCTCTTCATTACACCACTTTTGGGTATCCCAGTCTCATCAGTGCATCAGGAGTAATCACATCTGGCAATCAAAGGCTCACAAATGATCAGAAAAGCTGCAGTACAGACTACATGGTGCTATAATATCAGTATTCCCTCATCATATGGAGACAGAAAAGATTAGCCATCATGGCTGGTTCTAAGCACAGGGTTAGAAAATAGAAATGTATGGGAGAAATCAGATTGGCTGATCTCCAAATGAGATCAAAGTAATTCACAGAATTGTGGCAAGTAAAAATTAAAAGAGTGGTTGGCTGATGGCCATGCCATTATATTAGCCTTATTAGTGCATATGTATGCATGCCCATTTTTTATGACACAAAAAAGAAAAAACAGACATCTGAATTAACAAAACAAAACCTGTCCCACATAAAAAAAAAAAAAAACCCCACACCATAGAACCAGCTCTGATGGGATACAATGATTAAATATATAAAAGATAATGAAGTCACAGTTTCTGCAGCCAAACTCAGTGTATGCTATAAAACAGGGGTACAACTGTTACCCTCCACAGTATTTAGAAAACAAATCAAAGTACTGTTTTGTAGGAATAGTACTGTCTGCAATACCAAGCTAAAATAACAGATGCAAGGATTTAGATGGTTCTTATGAAAAAGTAAAACATTGCAAGAAGATCTACAGTAAGAATTCAAGCATAGAGAGGTATTCCCATATTCATTAGTCCTTTTATCAATTTCTTTTCACCTGAAAGCAGCAACACTAAATACTCATCCTCAGTTTATCAGCTGTGATCTGCTGTTTACATAAAGCTAAGCAGTGAGACAAGGCTTCATCATCCTAAAACCTGAGCCCAAGCCTCGCTCTGAGGTGAACGTGCAGCAGAGCAAGAGAATGTACACATGTCTTATAAAAAGGTATATTTAGTTTAAAGCCAGTAGTGCAACACAGACTCTGTGAGGCATTTACCCATGCAGGAAGCGGCCTGTCTACTGTGGAATGCTTTCAATTGTCTATACTTTATTTCTAAGAAGAGGGGGGAAAAAAAAAATGTAGAAAAGTATTTAAAATAACGAAAAAAACAACAACCTTTTAGTCTGTTGGGGGGCAGGGTGTTCTTAAAATATAAAGTAGTCAAGTTTCTGTTCCCTCCGGTCCCAAGTAACTAGGTGGGGGCAAAAAAAAGGGAGCTGAGATGCAACCCCCAACCATGGCTATAAAGGAGGTGGAAGGAACTTTGCTGAATTCAAGCAATAAGGGAGTGCAGTAACTGATGCATTTAATACAAATGAACATAAAGGAATGGTCCCTGGCAGTCCCTAAATCAAGCCTCAGACATGCCCCTTCTTTTAGGGTTCTCGGCTCTAAGGGATCAGCATTATTGCACCTCGTCTCAGGAACCGTTTGTGGGGTGGCCTTCCATTATAGCCGATGACATTCGGTTTTTTTTCTGGTGTTTGTTTTCCCTTGAGTTTTACACCAAGTAGAAACTACATCCTTCCCCAATGCCCTGAAGTCACTGACACAGCGACACTGTAGATGCCATTCTCACAGATTCTTCCCCAGAGGATTATGGGATTTCACTTGTGATGTCTCTGAGAGTGGTTCTTCCTTTTCCTTTTAAAGAAACAGCAGCACCTAATAAGAAAAGAGACAGAATCGGTCAGTGACTGGAACATATCAAATAAATCTTCACGGAAACTTTTTTTTTTTGATCATGTGCTACAGTTACTAAATTGAAGAAGCCTCCTCCCTTACAATGAAAGTGGAAAATCTATCCATGCTCCCATGATCCAGACTAGAGGGACACGCTTTGTTTAGGAACTCTGCATTTCAACTGTTCTGACAGCACTGTCAAGCAGCTGTGTGGCCAATATTGCTTGGTTTGTTGGCAAAAAATAGCTCAGGCTTGAAAATTTACTAAAAAGCTAAGTTTTTAAAGACTACAAGCTAAGAGGCTCTATTGCAGGGAGTCTAAGCAGGGAGATTCACACAAAATCAGCAGCACAGGGAGTGCGTTTCTGTCTGAAAGAGGTAGTTCCAAGTATGAATTAGCGGTTATAATACAAAAGAAATGAAACAAAAAGGATATTCAATAGAAACATTACAAACAGGAACCATGTTTCTGCCAAAGGGAAAAGATACATTCTGTGTTTATATAGGACTCACTGGCTATACCACAAGACAACATAAGTAAGGACCAAATGCATAATGGAGGTTAGAGACACTGGAAAAATGGGGAGGGACACAAAAAAGACCAGTGTGTTGCATGCAGACAATACATAGAGAGAAAGTGGAAAGAGTGAAAAACAAATTAGCCAGACATAGTGGGATTTAGGTGAAAGCACATGATCCCAGAAGCCATGTGGTCTTCCAACTATTCAAGAACAAGGTTGACATACAATGAAATCTACTCTACCTCAGGCGTTATGTTTGAGCATACAGCATAATTAAACTAGACTGGCCTAGTCTGTATGTCATTTATATACTTGACTTTTTCTGGCACATAAAGACTCCATTTAGACTTGGATAGCAATGGCTCGGGTTTAAAGGCATAATTCATTCCATGCAAAATGGATTGAGACTTGCCTAATCACTCAATTGACTGTCTGTAAAGCCATATGGTGGCAGCCTTATAGGAAACAAAATGGCAGACAAAAGGGCAAGATACATATGCCCCCTCCCCTTTCCCTTTAAATGATTCATCAGAAAAGCACAGGAGAGCTTAAGATACACAGATCAGTGGATTTCAGTGTCCAGATCTTTGTGAGGTCTCAATCTAGATCTGGTAGCTCCAGGCCGGTATACAGGTGAAACTCGATTAGAATATCGTGCAAAAGTTAATTTATTTCACTAATGCAACTTAAAAGGTGAAACTAATATATGAGATAGACTCATTACATGCAAAGCAAGATAGTTCAAGCCGTGATTTGTTACAATTGTGATGATTATGGCTTACAGCTCATGAAAACCCCAAATCCACAATCTCAGAAAATTAGAATATTACATGCAATCAATAAAACAAGGATTGTACATAGAACAATATCGGACCTCTGAAAAGTATAAGCATGCATATGTACTCAGTACTTGGTTTGGGCCCCTTTTGCAGCAATTACTGCCTCAAGCTATCAGCCTGTGACACTGCTGAGGTGTTATGGAAGACCAGGATGCTTCAATAGCGGCCTTCAGCTCTTCTGCATTGTTCGGTCTCATGTCTCTCATCTTTCTCTTGGCAATGCCCCATAGATTCTCTATGGTGTTCAGGTCAGGCGAGTTTGCTGGCCAATCAAGCACAGTAATCCCCACGGTCATTGAACCAGGTTTTGGTGCTTTTGGCAGTGTGGGCAGGTGCCACGTCCTGCTGGAAAATGAAGTCAGCATCCCCATAGAGCTCGTCTGCGGAAGGAAGCATGAAGTGTTCCAAAATCTCCTGGTAGACGGCTGCGTTGACCCTGGACTTAATGAAGCACAGTGGACCAACACCAGCAGATGACATGGCTCCCCAAATCAACACAGACTGTGGAAACTTCACACTGGACTTCAAGCATCTTGCAGTCTGTGCCTCTCCATTCTTCCTCCATACTCTGGGTCCTTGGTTTCCAAATGAGATGCAAAATTTGCTCTCATCAGAAAAGAGGACTTTGGACCACTGAGCAACAGACCAGGTCTGTTTTTCTTTAGCCCAGGTAAGACGCTTCTGACGTTGTTTGTTGTTCAGGAGTGGCTTGACAAGAGGAATACGACATTTGAAGCCCATGTCCAGGATCCGTCTGTGTGTGGTGGCTCTTGATGCACTGACTTCAGCCTCAGTCCACTCCTTGTGAAAGTCCCCAACACTTTTGAATGGCCTTTTCCTGACAATCCTCTCCAGGCTGCAGTCATCCCTGCTGCTTGTGCACCTTTTTCTTCCACATAACTTTCTATTAATGTGCTTTGATACAGCACTTTGGGAACATCCAACTTCTTTTGCAATTACCTTTTGAGGCTTTCCCTCCTTATGGAGGGTGTCAATTATGGTTTTCTGCACAACTGTCAGGTCAGCAGTCTTTCCCATGATTGTGATTCCTACTGAACCAGACTGAGAGATCATTTAAAGGCTCAGGAACCCTTTGCAGGTGTTATGGCTTAATTAGCTGATTAGAGTGGGACACTGAGCCTAGAATATTGCACCTTTTCACAATATTCTCATTTTCTGAGATTGTGGATTTGGGGTTTTCATGAGCTGTAAGCCATAATCACCACAATTATGACAAATCACGGCTTGAACTATCTTGCTTTGCATGTAATAAGTCTCTCTCATATATTAGTTTCACCTTTTAAGTTGCATCAGTGAAATAAATGAACTTTTGCACGATATTCTAATTATTCGAGTTTCACCTGTATTTCAGGTGCCTAATGTAGTAAGGTTTATGAAGGAGAATGTTAGTTTAGTCTTAAGATTAGGGTTTAGAGGGTATTTTAATGTTAAGTGACAAAGCAATATTAAACATTATGGGTTCATTTTAAATGTTCAGTTGAGGTTTAAGTTAGAATTTAATTTTCAGGTTGCGGTTAAGAGTAACTTAATAAAAATGACTTCATTTTAGGGATTAAGTTAAACTGTATGTCTAGCACAAAAAGAAAACAAGTACATTCCTGCAACATTTGCATCCCTTAAAAATGCTGCATGTTTAGAAAAATACCTGGTGATCCTACCAGAAATCCAGTGAGCACCTAACTTTTTTTTGGCTGATAACACTGCCTTTGTTGGAATGAAATGCTAAGCAGTGCTGTCTGTCCTGTCCGAGTTCTCCCCTGGTGGACTACAGTACTCTGCCTATGCCTGTCCCTCTCACATGCATATATTACATTTCTTTCAAAGCAAAACAATTCAACTGCCTTAACCCTGTGTGTAAGGAAATGCGTCTTGGGAGATGTAGCTGAAAGGTAAACGCGTGTGCCTATGTCAATAGGAAATAATCAAGGGCACCCCTGCCCTTCCAGAACCTGCCTCTGCAACAATTTTAGAAGCTTTCAGATGGTCACAGTGATTAATAGCAGTTTCTTGCTACAGGAACAAAAATTGAAAAATAAATAATGTTGGGATATGCTCTAGAGCTGTGGTTCTCAAGTGGTGGGTCTCCACGTGCCTTCCACTGCGTTAGGCGAGAGGTTCTTCAACCTACCACTAGTGCAGCACAATCCGTTATTGCACCGAGCAGCCATTCAAAATATGCTGCACGGTGCCAAGCGTCAGCTTGAGGTGGGCTGAGGGTATGGCCGCGAGGGAACTCCATCCATACGTGCATTGCTTTCAGCACCCTTGCATGCCCTGTAGAGGTGCCTGGACCGGAGTGACCTCACATTCTGGCTCCCGGCATCTCTACAGGGCACACAAGCAATGCACATATGGAAGGAGCTCCGTCACAGCACAGCACAGCACAGCAGTCCACACTTGACCCCAGGCTGAGGATCCACTCCAGTTCTTGTAAGGTAGGCAGATGGGGGGGGGGAGATATTAAAAAATGACAATCTTTTTAGTAGTGTGTATATGTGTGTGTGAAATGGTGTATGTGGTTGTGTGCGTCTGTCAGTGTTTTTGAGGGCCCATTCACACTAGCACAGTGGTTTAATCGCACAGTCCCGTGTGAATAATGCACTGCACCATGCAATTGCAGCTACTGCCCATTTTGGTGCTGAAGAAAAAAAAAAAAAAATACTTTAATATTCTACAGGTTCTGACTTTCCCACAGGTTTGCGATCAGGCTTAAAAGGGCTGCAAATTTGCATAGTGGTAACCCTCATAGCTTTGGAAACTCAAGATAAAACATTTTTAAGTTGAGAGGTATAGCAGACACTATTGTGTCTGAGAATTTAAATACCACTGTAATTCAAGTGCATTTAAATAGTGGGTGCAGACTTCTGCAATCCCGGGACTGGATGATTGTGTGCAGCCCCATTGATTTCAATGGGATTACATCCGCATGGCAATAGCTGAAAAAAAAGGTAGGGCAGTATCGTGGCGGGAAACCATGCAATCTGCCTGGGGCGCCATTACAAAATAACGGCACTGCTAGCGCAATCGGTGGTGGTGTGTGATTCCGTGACCGTGCGGCCATGTGGTTTTGTGCACGATTGCAGCGCGGTTACGGATCACCCAGGTGTGAACCTAGCCTAATGAGAGAGGATCAAGGAACTACTCTTTACATAATATTCTACAGCCTTGGTTCTCAACTGGTGGGTCGTGACCCAAAAGTGTGTGGCGACCCCATGTTCAGTGGGTCACCACGTGACTTCCACTTTTCATGGTGAGAGACTCCTCAGCCTTCCCCTAGCGCAGCATTATCAGTTTTCGCGCCGAGCAGCCATTCAAAATATGCTGCCCGGTGCTGAGTGTCAGCTTGAGGTGGGATGGGGCTATGGCCGCGAGGGAGCTCCATTCATACATGCATTGCTTACAGCTCCCTCACGTGTCCTGTAGAGGTGCCTGGACCAGAGTGACATTCTGGCTCCCGACACCTCCACAGTGCATGCATGGGAGCTGTACAAGCACTGCACATATAGATGACGCTCCGTCACAGCACAGTAGCCCACACTGGATCCCAGGCTGAGGATCCACTCCAGTTCTCGTAAGGGAGACTGGGTGGAACTTAAAATATTTTTTGGAGTGTGCACCCTAATTCCGTGCATTCCATTGCAGTGCGACATGGGTCGTGACCTTATGAACAAGGACAAATCTGGGTCCTGAGGATACACAGGTTGAGAACCACTGTTCTACAGCATCCCTCCAAGCATTACATTTGTGAAATCGACACAACAGTAATGTTCCTAGACCCTCATATTCATTAACGTTGAATCAAATAAAACATGCTCTAACAAGTAAGGCAGTTTCTATTTTAAAAAAAACCCAACACAAACAGAATGAAGGTTTAACAAAATCTATTGTCCGACACCTCTCACATTTATTAAAAATATATGGCTAATTAGGCATCTGCAGGTCACCAGCCCTCAATAATCCAGCCTTAGCCCATGTAGAAATTACATGCACATGAAAGCCACCAAAGCACTGGATGAAAAAGTAAATACAAGTCTACGACTTGAAAAATATTTCACAATTTTGCTTTCTTAGCAACAAAATTGCCAGAATTTGACAAAAAAAAAAAAAAGTAAATGGTTTATACTAGAACCTTAACATCAAAGCAAAAAAAGACTTTAAAGGAGTACTCTACTGTCACTGCAAAACAAACAAATCAGTAAGAGCCATTGCGGTTGGAGCTCTTCTTTTATAGAAGGCGCTCTCAACATCCACCACTTGGCTAAACAGTAAGACCTTGACTGTTCAATGTCCAAACTGACTATGCTCTAGACAAATTAGGATGGGATTAACTGGCTCACCACTTTGTTTAGAATGTGGGAATCACCACTGCTGGATGTGACTGAGGGGCACAATTGGTTTCTGCGGAAGGCAGTTCATCTCTTCAACAAATAACTAAAGTTGGCCATACACCTATAGATTATCTGCAGGTTTTCTATGGTCAGATGGGAAAAGTGCAACAGATTCCTCCATCTACGCTAAACTGTGTGGATGGAAGAATCTCCCGCTGGGCCAATCTTCAGTATCTTGCCTGAATCCAAGCAGACAGTGGGGCCGAATGACAAGATACCGAAGCTTGGCCCAGTGGGAGATTCCTCCATACACACAGTTTAGCGTAGATGGAGGAATCTTTTGCACTTTTTCCATCTGACCATAGAAAATCTGCAGAGAATTCTACAGGTGTATGGCCAATTTAGGACTACAACTCTGGACTGATGTGTATGACTTACTAATTACCTAGACAACAGAAGTATAAATCAAACATTGTAAAACATCCTACCAGTGTAAAACAATCACCCCAAATTTCTGCTTTAAATCGATAAACATCTATGGCGTTATTTCTGAATGTTTGAGGTTTTCACATCTGTAAGACCTTAAAATTCTACTTTGACATTGGATAACAGTATGCATAACAGAATTCTACAACTAACACTATTTTATTTTTCTGCAAGGATTATTAAAGCACAAATATATTTAAACCTTAAAACCCTCAGAGTTGAAATTGCTTTACATGCCATTGCAAGTATGCAAGTACATTTGCTTGGGAATGTTATACTGTACCAGACATGCAGATATCCTTTAAAGCCTACTAAAGTAACATTATAATTTACTGCAAGTGTTTACCTAATTATTTATTAACTGACTTGTTTAGGACAGTGAACATGTAAATAAGTTTAAGTAAAGAGTATTTTCCTGATTTAGAAGGGGACCTCTCCCTGGTATGCATTCCGCAGAGAGAGACTCACCACAAGTTGAGCATTTTCACGCAGCTACAAAATGTTAAAAGACAGAGAGAGAAAGAGAGAAGAATTAATACACCCAAGAAACACTAGGGAGAGGATGGGGGTGCAGCCATGCAGACATGCCTTGCAGGTCACAGGAAAGGAAAGTACATTAAAAGGTCAGGAAAGGTTGCATCGATCCAGACACTTATACAAGAAATAAACTCAATTAACAAAAGGAAAATTATTATCATTTAATTTCTATAATTAACGGGATTCTACATTAACCTGAAATCTGTTCATATTCCTTCCATTCTAAGCGAGGCAGATGGTGGGAACTCTTTCCTGGGACCTGAATCATTGTATATCATGTGGTATTTCAAGGCCTTTTTTATCGTGGTCACATCAGTGTAATAGTAACAAGAAATACAGCAGCCATAAGTCATACTTCCCTACTGTCCCTCATTTGGAACGAAGTCCCTTTGTCCCTCATTTTGGTTCTGATGTACAGATATCTATAACAATTTGCTATTGAACCACCAAAAGTGTTATTCTGCACTAAAACCTTTACTTTATCTTTTAGTTACCTTCTTTGCGCTTTTGAAAGGTCAACATAAAAGAAAAGTAATGGTGAAAAAACAAAAAAACAAAAACAGTTCTGGTTTTAAACCATTAATTTGTGCAATATCATTTCTCAATGGTTCACATAACTGGGGGCATGGAATGGCTATGCCCATTGCCTAAATACATTGTTCTGGAAGTTGTCCCTCTTTCTCATCTCAGAAAGTTAGGAGGCATGCATAGTTGGGCCAAGCAAAAGAAACCAGGTCCCCAATGTTTCCCTCTGCTACTGACACCAGCAGCCCACAGTGGAACCCAGTGCTGCTAAACTCTTGCCTCTATCATAGTGATAAATAAACTGCAGGGCCCTCTGAGGAAAAACAGGCAGTGGGTAGGGAGTGGACATGGTTGGTTGATCTAAGGCATATGGAGCTCGGTTCTTATTTTACTTCTGTAGAATGAAGCCGACAGTGGTTGTAAAAGCTAGTTAGAAATAAACCTACCAATATACTTGTTTTTCTTCTTATGAAACAGAGTCAAGTAGCAAAAAGAATCAAATTGGTTATATCCTTAAATGTATGCCCATGTCTCTTTGGCTCAGATGTGCTGCAATACCCTTAAATGTAGGCTTTATTCTACCAATATGAGGCACATGCTGTTTTGTGGTAAATTTTCTGTAGGTACAAGATTCAGTGTCATCACAATAACCAATGGCACTAGATTTTAAAGGAAGTTTTTCCATAAAATATTAATGTTTTGAAGGGCACAGCACTTTTATTCTGAAGCTTGATATTCTTACATAAAAATCAGATGCTGACAATACCAGATGTAGTCTAGAAGAGCAATTAAAACTATTCTGAGCAAGGCTATTATTATGTAACACAGGGGAGCTCCAACCATAATCATTAATTCCCTTTACTTTTATCATCTATGTAGAAGACGAGTGATCTGTCCAAGATTATTTGTATAGGTTGTAAATTAAAAGCAGATTAAATATTCTGGAAAAAGTTAGTCCTCTTCCATCTTCTACACACACCAGGAATTGATGGTGTAAACAATATAATACAACCTGGTAAGTGTATGGAGTATAATACATGATCTGTACAGGCCTGAAAATACCACCCAACTATAAAAATTACACGTTTTGTTTTACAAAGGATGATATGATTCAGTGTGGTGACTTTCTAGAAAGGACAGGTGTGGAGTCTGCATCCTCTAGAAAACTGAGCGACCGCATGCAAAAGCGGCTGCAGTTAAGGATGTGGCTGTATAAATGATGAGTGTTTAAAAATAAGAAAATGGCACATGGTGGCAAAATAAAGGCACATGGGTAGAGGTACCAATGGAGACACGTGCAAGGGTAGCAGACTATGTTGTAATGAACTAGATGGCACATACTTCGCTTCCTCCACAACCTCCACCTCGGCCTGCGCTGTGATCGGTGCGTTGGAGTGACCTCCTGTTTGGTCATCAGCATTCAGCTGCCCGTTTGTTGAACTCATAACCTGTGGCAGAAATGAACAGAACAAAAATACCGGTGACTCAAAGTTAAAGCAAGTGGCCATGCATGTCATTTTGCAAAGGCTATTACGCTTTGCAGCACATACACTTATGCAGTAAGATCTACAAACCTTCAGTATCTTATCACCTCATACTGTAATAGGAGTACTATACAATACTAGAACATTATTTTACCCATAATGTATTAATGCAATAATACACAAACAAGCTATGAGACTTGTTCTAACAGTGAACATAGTGCTTTACCTACAGGTTTACCTCCATGATGGCCCCACAAGCCGCACATTCCCCACTCCCCTGGTTGAATGCTGAAGGGAAGAGAAACACTTGGTACTTCCAGGTATGTGAATCATTTCCCTACCTCCCATGTGACAGCACTGGTTCTTAGCGACTGCCCGCTCATACACCCAGCACTGTCACAGAGGTGGGGAGAGATTGCTCAGCACTGTTTGAGCTCCAAGCCACAACTTGGAGCTTAAAGAGGGCTTGTGCTTTTTGCACCTAGTGGCCAAAATGAGAGTAAGGGGTAGGTAGTGAAATTAAGTACATGTAGCTGGCGGGGCATGCATTAAAGGAAACCTATTGTGTTGTTGTACATGGGCAAAGCATTGTTTCAATTTAGATTCAGAGTAGCACAATATGCATCATGGGCCTCAATTAAGTCTGTGAGGGTCGTGTCACACAGGCACTTTTAGTGTTCATATTTGCTAAATAACACTTGCATAGGAGAATGGCGGTGGATGTTTCTATATGAAGCTGCAAGCGTCAACATACTTTGTACAGTTAAACTACATTAAAAAAAAATTCCCCAGCAAGATCATACGGACAGTGTAATAAATACCAATTAAACTTTTCAATAGCATTATATTAAACTTTGTGACATTGGCTAAAAGTGCCATTGTGAGCTGACAGTTATTATTAGGAGGTCAGAAAAGTATGTTTTAGACCAACATTTTTAGCATTAAATTCATAGCGTGCATTTTATATGTGCAAAGCTCAATCTCAGCATGGAATTTAATAAGAACGGTTCAGCTCCATTTCACAAAATGTCTCTACCTCTCCAGAAATTATAGTATGTAGCTCTTGGAGAATTGCTCGCCACAATACTTATGTGATGGGGGGGGGGGGACCCCTTTGAAAAAAACTAATCAGTTCAGCATGGGATAAAGTGCAGCGATTTTTTAGTAACAAAGCAGCAAAAAATGACTTGTCTGTGTCCTTTGAGAGAGCACAAAACGCAAAAACTATCAATGTATTAAAGTATATGTAAACCCAAAAACAAAAATATCAAAAAAACATTTATTGCAGATTATCAGCCTTTGAAGTGGTGGCGGCATTATTTTTTCCAGGCTTCTCCCCCTTTACTTTCACCTGGTAATGAACCCCTATTGCTAGCAAGATAAAGATCAACAAGTATTTTCTGTAATGCTGAAAATGTTCTTAGCCTGGAAAAAAAGAAAACCAATGCAGCTACCGCATCTAATGACTGGTAAGTTACAATATATAACATTTTTAGTCTAGGGTTTAGTTAACCTATAATTATTAGGTAATGGTGTCATCTCCAAAACTATTTTAGTAGATAAATATGCTTTACCGCAACAAGTAAACTTAGTAAATGACAGAACATTTTCAACAGGTGCATCCAGCTTATACTATATAAATTTACTATCAGGAAATCAACAGAACATGCAATATTCACAGCAGGGCAGTCAATCTTCATAGGACTTCAATTCATTAACTTGCATATGTCCCCCAGTAATGGGTATTAAAATCTATTTGCGGGCACATATTTTTTTGCCAGCATGCAGAGTGGCTTATGTTGCCCTAGCAATGAGCAACGGAAATGCTCAGCTGATCCTTAAATAGAATTCAAAAAGCAGCTATGGATCCCAGGGCAACAAGAGTATGAAATTCAGTCTAGTAGACATCAGAAATGATTTAGAAGAAAAACACTAATGTATTAAGCAATACTGAAATGAGGACATATGCAAAACAAGTTATAGAAATTAAAAGCAGTGAGAGATATTATTCAAGTGCCTGAACAAGAAACCCAACATGCTCTAATACCTGAACGGATCCCCCAAGCCGGTCTGATGCCAAGTGAGGTGCCAGATAAGCGGGGTGAGCCTGTCGGCTGGCTTGTAACTCCCAAGCTCCTCGGCGGTCTGGGGCGCCCGTCTGCGCAGAGGCGTTAGGAAGCATGCGATTGCAAGGTGTAGAGGACAGGGGTGTTTGGGGAGAAGGAGGTCAGCCAGGCCAAAGCAATGGAAACAGATCACTGTGTTAGTGGATGTGAGTAGAAAGCCAAGCTATGACTGCGTGCTGCAAGCAGAACAAAATACTCAGAGCCCTCTTTGTGCTGAAACAAAGCAGGGTGTATACTTTGCATTTATTCCAGCAAGAGAGGGCCGATAAAGCAGTGCAAGCAAGATATAAAACACACTATAAAATAAAATCTTCATGTTATGCAATCATTTCACAGCCCTCCAAAGCATCAGTCCAAGTGCAATACCACTTTGTTATAAATGAAAAGCAACATGATCAGGCAAAAACTGAGGGATCCTTTTAGGGGAAGACAATTCGTTTACTTAGAATTTACACACTTTCTTTGATCATGAACATGTATATTGTCTGAAAATCTAATATTAGTCTGAGTAATACCCAAATAATAGACCCTTGCTTAGAAGTCATTTCTAGGTCATTTAGGTGTCAAGTAAAATGCTCTCAAGTGTTTGGGAACAAAATACCCTATACCTCAGACTATAGAAGTGCATATCCCCCCATCATACTCTGTACTCAACCAGATTCACTTGATTCAGAAACGTATTGCTATTGAGAAAGAAAAAAAGAAATTAAGTGATGAGGGTATTCTGTATGATCAAGTAAGGCACAGAGGCAAACATAATTTGCAGCAGAGGAATCTTTTTCATTACGTAGAAATAAGGAAAAAATATACTTGCTTGACGTTACATTTTTAACAAACAGAATCTATGGTCAGAAAAGTTAGTAAATCAAAGCGCAAAAAAATGACATCTCATTTCTGAGGGCCATTCCATCCATACATGATACTTTGAATTTCTGTGAAGCCTGGCCAAGCCAGCTCCAGGCTTCTTAACTAATAACTAAACAAAGATCTCCTGGCCACAAACCTTAACTCTGTTGCTGTCCATTAGGGGGTTTTGGGTGGTTCAGCACATTCATCTGCATGCTCAATAGTATCAAATAAAAGTCCAAGGGAGATAGTGAGACCCCTTCATGGCCAAAGCAGGAACTCAAAAGTTCTCACCAACAGGCCCTTAAGATTTCGGAAACTTTAAAGGTTGTTTACTTCATCATCGACCAGAAAACTGAAGTATCAGTTTTGGGTAGACCAACTCTTTAAAGTGAAACTGAAGTCTGATAGTATTATGTAATACATACAATTTCCCATACCATTAATGAAATAAGACTTCTTCTGTTTAAACTAGCCTCCTAGGTTAATCTTACCTGCATCCTGCCATCTTTTCAGCCCATGACCTTGCTTAACTTTTCCTCATCGGCTAGCATCTACATCCTATTCTAGATGTTGACTCACAAGTGACATAAGCAGCCTAACCACAGAGCAGGCTCTTCTGTTTTCAGATTTACCCAGTGATCTGAGAGTTCCCTTATTACGAGATCTCAGTTTGCAAGCTCAAGCAATCTCTCAGATTTAAAATCCTATTCTTGGCATTTTGTTGCTGGCATTACAAAGTGACACTGTGCATGTGTGAATGGAGCTGGGGACAGAAACAAGCTATGGCCTAAAAATAATTGCTTTGGTGACCGTAGCCTAACTAAACACACTAAAAGAAGCCTATGGGCAACGTCAGTGTTGATAGACCCCACCCCCCAATCATTTGATGTTGTGTATTAAGTTATTATACCTAGTAACATTTTAGACCCCAAATTCACTGAAACTGTACAATAGTGAAAAACCTCCCTATTTTAACACTGTAATTAAATATTATTGCTGATTACTGAATAAGTGTCAAATGTAAACATGCAGCCCAGAAAATGGCAGTATGGCGTGTCTGAACTTCTGCATGCCGTGTGGTACTACAAATCTTCAGTGCCTTGTGGAGTACTCACAGCAACGTTTGATCAGAAATGTACCACCTATAGCTGGAGGATGCGCCAGCTATAGGCATGGCTCAGACAGCCTATTAAACAGCAGTCTACAGCTGCCATAAAAAGGTATGTTCTAGTTTAGATCTAGCCACCAGTGCAGGAGGGAGACGGCTGTCAGGGAGAGGTCTGAACAAAGTCTGCTAACCAACTTCTGCAATGCCTTGGTTGTTGGGTTTCCAGACATGGTGCATATGTTCCACAATGGTTGCAGAACAACAAGCAGTGTAAACATATGCTGGAAAGCATGCCCTTGACAAGAAAAAAAAACCAAAAACAAATCCTAAAAAAAAGTGTGCTTGTGACCAGAGCATTAAAGAAAACCAGTTAACAGAAGAATACTGGGGCTGGCATTACAAACCTCTTAAGAATACTAGTTGGCTGATGTCAATTTTCAGAACGCACATTAGAAAATCAGCATGAAGTTCTATCCTAATATATTCTGAAGTCCTAATCTGCATATTTCTTCAAACACAATGATAGAATGTAAAGAGATTGGAGCAGCATCATGCAACCAGGGAACTAGTATTTTAAGAAGAGTAGTTCAGCAATCAGCCTATATATTCACTTAGTGCAGGTTTCCATAAGATGCTGCATTAACTTAAATGCCAAATTCGTGTAAAGGTGTCCATACACTGGTCGAATTTCAGCCAGTTTTTATGTACCAATAGCCAATGAGCTGCCCGCTCTGCTTGGGTATTCTGGCAGGTCCCGGCGGCACCTGTCAGAATACAATGCAAACAGCGGGATTCCTCGATCGACATCGAACCAGGTCATTTTTTTTTCGCTCAGCCGGCGGGGTGGACAAAAACAATTGATAGGTGTATGGCCAGCCTAACTTGTTCAATACAGAAAGCCGCTGGCTGGGGCAGAAGATGTCAGCATGGTGGAAACTTTACAGTAGAAGTAGTCTATTATCTTTAGGGCACATAATGTGTTTTACCATGGTGCATCACACACAAAAAAGAAAGCAATACAGCTTGCTGATTTTAGCACTTTTCAAAACAAGTGCAACTTCCATGGGGATTTTGGGTAAGACATGTTAAGAGCATCAAAACACACAGTAACAAAGGAAAACTTGGAGGTGTGAATGAATTCTAACTATTCAAGCTTAGGTAAACTAAACCACAAAGAAAAATATTACAACTATTGTGTTATTGCGTTCAGTTCACAAAGAAAAAAGAAAGCCAATTTTATTGCCATTGGACTGAAAAACCTAGTACAGTATTACCTCTGGAATGATTCTTTGGTGCTTATGAAATAAATAAAAGGATATCATTGAACAAAAAATAAAAGCTTTCTCAATATTTAAAACAAAGCAGGATTATCAATTGCTACTTGACAACAATTACCCAAGACAGCTTTAAATTTGGTAACTAAATACAAAACAAAGCAGTAGCACGTTAACTCAGCTACAAGTTGGATGTTTATGTTTTATACACATAGACTAAATCTAGCGCTTTGACAGGAGAGAACCTGACCTGGTTTCTGAGCGGTTGAGTCTGCGATGGCCGCTCCCGGTGGACATGGCTGTCTCTGGTTATCGCAGAAGTTCCAGAATCAACATGGACGGATCCCACTGGGGTAGGCTGAAAGAAAGAAAGTTTCCACTGATTACATGAAGCAATCTTTTCCAAATTTCCAATGAATTAGGGAGCAGATTAGCAAAAACTACAGCTATGTTACATATATGTCAGAAACGAAATGCTAGGATTAAGGCCCAGTCCACATGGGCAGTCTGATCAGTTCCGCCTGTCAGTTTTTCAAGTGGACCAGATCAGATGCCCAATGCTACTCTATGGGCAGCCATGTGTAAAAGGACAGGCGCCCGCTTAAGCCCGGTTACCCAGCCCCCGATTCTCCCGGTCCGGAAAAACAAACCCATCAGAGATCTTTTTCCGGACCCGGTAGTGCCAGATCAGGGGTATAACAGACACATGTCCATTTACATCCGATTCCCCATAGACTGACATTGGGTCGGGTCATTTCAGTTTTTTCCTCTATCGCAGGATGAAGGAAAAAAGCTCTACAGACACAGATGTGACAGCGATGACATCTGATCCATACTGTTGCGATCAGGAGGGTATACGTGCGAATGAGCCTAACAATTTTAAAAGTTACTTCGGTTTAAATGTTGCTTCAGCTCTTTAGATTTAGTCAGCTCTGGGATACAGCAAGACATTTTGTACACATTAAAAAACATTGACATTTTTAATGACAGTCAATGTTTGCCTTTAGCATTTTAAATACAGAGATAGATTTTTAACTACATCTGTAATTTACCCACCGCTAGTTCTATCAGGCTTAGAGCTGTTTCAATTTCAGATATAAGAAAAATAAACATTCAAACCTCAAATGGAAAACTACTCACAATTGGCCTGCCAACCCAATCATAAACATAGTCAAAAGTGTATCCTTTCCGTTCAAAGAGTTCAGAGAACAGCGTTCTGAGATAGTCATAGTCCGGCTTCTCAAAGAAATCCAAACGCCTTACGTATCTCAGGTAAGTAGCCATTTCCTCTGGAAGGAACAAATGCAAACAAAAGATACATTAATACAGTTTTCATAAACACATACATTATAGCTACAATTCCTTTTGTATCAATTTAGTCTGAAGAATAAATACAACTTCTTGGTAAACTGGTCACACATGTCTACAGATCAACAAACTACTATGTATTGAAAGGAGCTGTCTGATCGGAAATGCACTGAATGGATTGTTTAGGTAGTTATGCCCAAGTTTCCAAAGTTCTACCTCACCATAATGCAGATCTTCTCATTTTATAGATACTATGTACGGGGTGTGAGAATTTAATCCCGGAATGCCCGCAGCACACCACTATGGTGGAGAGTCACAGCCATTGTCACGCCAAGTGTGATAGGACATGTTCTAACTTGCACTCGCCTGGGTCGCAGACCAGTTGACTCATTCCTTACGGAGTAGTAGAAGAAAGAACATGCATGTGCATTGTGCTGTTGGCAGAAAATGAGTGACAGGAACCTGAAGCAGCAGATTAACATCAAATTTTGCATGAAAATTGGCAAAAGTGCGAGTGAAACTTTAGCCCTGTTACAACAGGCTGAAGGTGAATATTCTATGAAGAAATCAAGTGTTTTAGAATGGCATGGGCGGTTTGAGGGGCAGGAAGATGTCCATGAAGACTGGAACTCTGGCTTGAGAAGTGGATTCTCCAACACTACAATGCTTCTGCACATGGTGTGGTAAGTGTTCATGAGTTCCCGTCCCAGAAATCCATTCCGAAACTTGACCAACCACCTTATTCCCCCCTGACTTAGCACCCTGCGACTTTTGGCTGTAACCAAAATTAAAAAATGACTTAAAAGAAAACAGGTCTGATGACATTCCGGATATCTAGGGCGCTGCGACAAAGATACTGTACAGCGTTTTGGAAAACTAATTCCAGGAATGTTTCCGGCAGTGGCACAGTCTAGAAAAGCAAGTCGCTCCACAAGGAAAGTACTTTAAAAAGGTGGCAACAGCAGCTAGTGTATCGTTAAGCGAAATGTGTGTATGTGTATGTGTATGTGTATGTGTATGTGTATGTGTATATAGAGGCTAAGGTAAGGTGACTTTTTTAAAATAAAATCCGGGGACATTTTTAAATGTCCCCGGATAATGGTTTACTAAGCAGAGAAGTTAAATGAACAAAGAGGAGGGACGACAAATGCCCCATCAATTTTAAAAAACTATTTTTTTTCTGCTTGACAGGATATACATGCTAATGCTGCTTTTACCTCTGTCTGTTGCATATATTCAATGAATTTGTGGTGTATACTGGAGTTTCTATATTTGAATATTAAGAAGCAGGATTGAGAAAGCTTACTGCCTTCAAAATCACTAAAGTTCAAAGAGTTTAGAATCCATGCTGCAGCTTGGCTGTGGGTAATGAGATGAACTACAGTTCATATACCATAGCTGACAGACCAGTAACACTGCTGGAATTGGGCGTTTGTATGAAGTCAACTTAGAGTAACAAAGCAGATGCACCAATGCCGTTTTGTTTTTTAGAATTTAAATGTCACAAAATTACATTTCATTCAGTTCTACAGGCAAAGCATGATGTGATATGGTTGTACAATGTCGCACCACAACGTGCTGAAGAAAAAAGGAATGTATGCAGTACTTTTTCTTTTCTTTGCGCACACCACTATAGTGTGGTGGTGTTAACTGAGACAATTGAAAACAAGGCTATTGCCTTGCCGGTGTGTTGAGGCTGCACTGGAAAAGATGGCCAGTGTAGCCCCAACACATCTGAATTGGCCCATAGTATTTGGGGCCAAGCGGCTTACAATATTAAAAAACCTAACCCAGGTAGCGTTGTGCATTTCCGTTGCTTTAAAAATATGGGTAAGCAATGCACAATAAACTGAATTATTTTACACTGAAGATTGGACCTCACCTGGGAAATTCTCACAAAGGACTTCCACGGGAGTGTTTCGCTTTGTATCTCCAATCTTCTGGTAGCGTTCCTTAAGGGTATCTGCCTATATGGTTAAACATACATGGGATATCATTTAACAGAAATACATTTACAAAGCGCAAAAATTAACATGAAGGCCACACAACGATATAGTTATTCAGCTCAAATTATTATTTTATTATACAAGGAGAAATCAGTTATGAAAGCAGTCATAAGTGTATGCACAAGGCGAACAGATGGACCAGCTTCTGGTTTAATAAAGCAACACATTACTCCATGATTACTTTATGCGTTTACTTATTCTATATCTTTCACATGTCAGCCAATCAACCATATCTAATGTTTTCATACTTATGTGTGAACGGAACACTTTCTGCAGTTTGCTACCATAAAGTTGCAGAAACAACATTATTAAATAAGATATCAAATGTCCACAAGAACAAGAACATTCATAAGCTGTGGTGATAATCACTTATGGAACATTTTCTCCGTTTGACAGAGAAAGACAACCAAATGATCATAATGCATGTGTCATAAGCACCTGACAACCAAGTCAGGAAGAGGAGTGTCTCAGATACTACTGAGAGGCAGTTTTAATGCACACGGATCTTAGTAAGAGATCTACTCGGAGTAAGCCAATTAACCCAGGGACAGGTCACATCATCATATTACTGCAAAGGCCTTGTTATTCTATATAGATTTCCAGCAACCATTTTGGATGCATAGACAAAAGGTTGGAGTAGTGCCATAGGCCAATATTTGAGTGTGAGGAACCAGCAATAATCATTTTATCATGCTGTAGAAGCTGACCATCAGACAAACCTAGAAGCCCGTCTAAGGTCAAAGAGACATATACTTTGTAACATTTTTTATGTCATCCAGTTGCGACATCACAGTTACGTGATAGCACAGCGTAAATGGCTTCAAAAATCTTTAGTACTTTCTAAACACATCCCCTAGCTTTAGTTACTACTGTTTCCTCAAAGACAATCAATGAGTGAAAACACAGATGTAAAATGATAAATATTCGGCCATTTTTCTGTGGGTGAACTGATGCCTTCAGTTTGTACTAATAGAAGTCGAAATCAGATGTTCCCAACACATGAGTATTCATACGGAAGCACAAAGTACAAAAACTGCTGGCTGAGCTAGTGCCCTGATGCTTCGCAGTCATGCGAATGGAATGATCAACTTTTGCATGGCCAAAAAGGCTGTGAACCTGTCAACCTAACTTTTGCTTACAAGAAGCAAGAGATAAAGCAAATCCATGGTAAGGCAAATGTCACATTATATAATTGTTGCTTTTACCAGTCTGCTGCATTTGTTTAAAGTTAACCCTTTCTGATAAAAATATGGGGGCCATTATGGACTTCCTTATGAAAATGCAACGTGACTGACTATCATATGAGGGGAACGCTTAAATAAGCGGTCGGCAATGGCATCCTCCAGGTTTTTTTTTTTTTTTTAATGCATTTTAAATCAAGGTGAACTCATTCAGTAAAAATATGTGGAATTGTTGGCACTGAAATATGGCACTGAAATCTTACCAGAGCAAGGTCAACAATACGTAATAATAAATGACTGGCAATTTTCATTTCATTTTCCATAAATAAGGTCCACTTAAGCTACATCCGGTCTTAACCGTTCTTAAAATGCTTACCTTAAGGCCTTGCCATGGCAGACTTCCCCTCAAGAAATACATGAACATGTGCCCCAAGGCTTCCAAGTCATCTCTTCGACTTTGCTCTAAAAGACATGAAAAAAAAAGAAGTCAATCCCTCTATTTATATTAGTCTGCATGTCATTTTTTTGCATAGTAATTAAGAAATCCAAAAATGTCCTGTACCGAATGCTGGTATGGTGGACCCCAAGCACACTATGCTTGTCTCCATTGCATTCATGAATTCTAGTATACAGTGGTACCTCGGTTCATGACCGCTTCTGTTCGCGAACAGGAAGTTCAGCAAAATTTTGCCTCCGTTCACGAACTCCGCTTTGGGTGACGAACACAACCTCAGCCATTTTCCCTGCTTTGACATATGGTCATGGCTTCCTCTAGTCGAGATCACAGTTTGATTCGGTGCACAACCAAAATCGGTTCATGACCAGAATCGCGGAACAAATTAATTTTGTAAACCGAGATACAAACTGTATATCCATTTGCAAGATGTACTATTACACAGATCTCTGTAATCTCAAAGTGCTTACCTAGCAAATAAATCAGCTAATTTTCTTCCAAACATGCCATTAGAACTAAAACAAAATGTTTTTGTTTTGAGCAGAATGGGGAAGATTATAAACCCCAAAATAGGACAGAAATAATATTTTTTAACAGTGGTCATATGAACAGGGAATTCTCCCAAAGAAGACAAATGACCGCTGTCAAATGTAATATTTCCCCTCACTTCCTGGTGTGTCTTCAGAACAGGAAGTGAGAGTAACTCTCCCTAACACGGAAGCAGCCACCAACAAAAATCTTAAAGGCTATATACAACACTAGAAAAAGAATTGCGTCAGTGAAGCTGCAAGTTATCATTCCAGTAGCTCAGTAAAAAGGAAAAAAAAAAAAAAAAAGGAATTAAAAAAGTACAGCGAGTGCTTTAAAAAAGAAGGAGAACTATGGGGTCAGTGCTTTTCCCCATAATTCGCCTCAGGGTCACGGGAGGACACACACTTACCTCCCTCCCGTGATCCAAAGCTCAGTATACCACGAGTTACAGCTCACAGTATACTGAGACCGCCGCAGCCGGGACGGATCCCGACATAACTGTCGAGATGAACCCAGCTGCGTGATTGACAGCTGTTTCTGTCCATCTAGAGGCAGAGCCAGCTGTACCCGCCCCCTCCCCCATCCGTTCCGCCAGTCAGCGCTGGAGGATCGAACGGGGGGGAGTTTGCTCACTTCCCGATCTATTGAGCTAACGTGTGACAGTTTCAGTCACACGTCGGCTCGAACTATGAGGCTGAGTGATTTTCACTCACCTCATAGTTCTCCTTTAAACTAAAAGGTTTGGCTATTTCTGAAAATACTTCTGGATTATATTCAATAATGCATTCTGGGGATGGCCTATTACAAACTGTACAGTGGACATCATGCCATCACAATATTGTTTGGAGATATATAGATGTATATATAAAAAAAATCTATTTTCTTCACATTATGCTTTTGTCATGAAATGTACATTGTGAATACAGATGATACTTTAGCACTATAAGAGGGTCAGTTGTAAGATAATTAACATGCGATTGTGTGTGGGTGACAAATATAGAAAGTCATCACATTCCACAAAGTCATCACATTCCACAAATATTCCTTTTCTATTTCCTATGAAAAGATAAAAAAAGGTGACAAATCTAATAAAATAACGTTTGGGAAGGTTAAAAAAAAAAAAAGGACTGAGCGCAGAAAAAGTGTGGAGGTGAGACGAAGGCAGAATGTTACAGTACCGATATAACAACATTTTACACTGTAGTTGCCATAGAAATCATACCATTATACTCTGTGCTACAGGGATTGTCAAAGCAGCAAGCAACAGAGGATAATAAGAGGTTTAGTGATACCAACTCTGGAACTGACAGCCAATCAAGCCTCCATACTTCAAACCACAGCATTTAAATGCATATTTGTTCCCACAAACATTCTGTATCACAAGCCTAGTACAGGGCATGCAATATTAAAATATGATTCATCCAACAGTATAAGATTTGTGGCTTCTGGCACAATAACTTAGTCATTACAGAATTATTATCCTGTGAAACAAACAACTCTGCATAATAGACTTTAAAGGGACAATAGGAGTTAAATCTTAAAAATCCATTCAAGTACCTTAACTATTAAGAAAAATGTATCTTATTTGTGTATCACTCGGCTGTAGATCCTCAAATCATCTCTGAATTGGTGCCGACACTGTCCTTCCTTCTGGAGGGTGGCTACTTTTCTTCCCCATGGTCCCTTAGCAGCCACCGCTCCAAGCTCACTCCTGTGATAAACTATACCTTCATTACAAATTAGGAAACTAAACATGAGATTGTAGTCCATCACAGGAGCGAGCTTGGAGTGGTGGCTACTTTAACATCTTAACAAGTACCACCCTTACCAAAGCCAGTAGTCAGTTACTGCAGACTGATGTTCCTTGCCAGAGGCATGCTGATCATGCAATATGCCAAGTTGCAGCAAATTCAATTGGCTTTTACAAACATGGCAACCTACCACCAATGATTCTACCATTTTATTTTATTTTTTTGGGCAATTAGCATGTGGCGGCAGGGAGATGTGTTGATCCTGCCAGTGAAGTCTACCTCATGCAGCTTTCTGTGATGGGGTGACAACACTGCTGCTGATTTCAGAGCAGCATGGTCCCACTTATGTAGATTGTGCATGCTTGCACTACAGTGGATTAAGGAGACCTGGATGGCTATCGATATGGTCAACGCTGCTGCACAAGGCAATAGCATGTAATTCAGACTGCCCTGCCTATGTTGCTGCACAAGCCTATAGCATGTAATTCAGACTGCCCTGCCTATGTTGTTGAAATATTTCCATTGTGAACTGCATTGTCTTGGATAGGGAGCGTGTAATTGCAAATAAGGTAAATTTAGCTTTTTAAAGTTTATGATGCATGTAAGCCTATAGCATGTAATTCAGACTGCCCTGCCTATGTTGTTGAAATATTTCCATTGTGAACTGCATTGTCTTGGATAGGGAGCGTGTAATTGCAAATAAGGTAAATTTAGCTTTTTAAAGTTTATGATGCATGTGGATCAGATAGTAACTGGATTACAGGACCTGTTTATTTAGACTGTCATAAACAAGCCTTTAGATGTACGTTAACCCAACTCGGAAGTACAAACAGGAAAAGCCACGCACCCACAGAGCTTATTCTCCCATACTATAAATTCCTTCAAGAAAACCTTTGCAATCAGATTTTAACTTCTACTTCTCCATCAAATAGCCAATGTTGGTATGCGTCAGTTAACTTGACAAAAACTATCACTTTGACTGACAGTGGATCTGAGAACTAGGAACACACATACAGTTGTGGCACATTGATAACTTTGATCTTACAGCAGAGATCTAGCAAAGGGCCTTTATAAAAAGATGTACATGGACATATAAATATGTCATGGACATTTTATATGTAGATGGACATATAAAAAGATGTACTGCAGTCAAAAAGGGGTTTCCATGAGTGATTCAAACACATTTTACCTAAACATTTCTTAATGGTAGTAGAAAACATGTAGTAGTAGTAAATTTGTAGTAGAAAACAATTTTAGTCTTAGATTTGTACGTAAAACCTTGTAATATTTTAGTTTGGTATAGAGGACATTGCCCACTAGAGGGAGCATTATCCAACATAGACATCAGAATCTGCTAGGAACACCTTACATTTCCAGAGCCTTTTGTCTAATGGCTGCGTTTACTGATGTACAAAGTACTATGTATTAAAGAGCCAACATAAAAGCACACATTCCAGAGAACCAATCCTGAAGAAGTTTACCTTCTAATGTGCAGTCAAAAGAAAAAGGTGTATACAGACACACTGGGGATGTTAGGTTGGACCAACAGAGGAACTGAAGGAAAGACGCTCAAACAAAAGAAAATCCAAAATTCTATGATTGTAATGTAGTTCGGATTTGATCTCAAGATCGAGGTGCTGCAAAGTCACAGCACTAACCAAGTTTGGTGATCGGTTTCCCTGTACACTTTCACACCTGCTCCAACAAAAAAAAGCTACAATATGCTAGGTATAGGCATTTATTTTTAATGTATTGGTTAATACAGAAATATGGTTTCTAGTAGCCATGTTAGAATGTTTAATTCTTGCGATTTCTTACTTCATTGTAAGGATTGACATATTATTTGTGTGCAATTCACTGTAGGCTGACATACACCCATTCTTATTCCCACACTACCAGTGAATCTCTGACCAATAAAGAGGTGTAGGAGGTAAGAAAGAGCTAGCCACAGTTTGACTTTCAAAGCCAAAGTCATTATTTGTATATTTTAACACCTCAGGGCTATTTTATGTGGGGGAGGCAGGGGTGCGGCTGAAAAAAGATGCTTCATGGGACCAGTCGCGCAGACGGATGGAACCTGTAGGAGGGGGAATAACTAGAGCTGCAACAGTTAATCGATTTAGTCGATTAAAATCGACGATTGAAAACGTTACCAACGTTTTCGATCGTCGATTCGTCGGCTATCAATTGATTTCCCTGTTCGGGGCTCTACACGCGGCCTGAAGCACACGTCACACGCTGCTCACGTACCGCTGCGCCCGCCGTGCTCACAGGACACCTCCCACCGCACGCTGCTCCCGCCGTGCCCACAGGACGCATAAGCCACGCCCACCGCTGAAGCCTGTTCGCGGCTCCACACTCAAGCCCCGCACGC